AAGGTATTCCTAATGATCTCCATCAAGACTAAATGATGTTTTTTGAATATCATCCGGGGCTATTTCAATTTGGTGGAAAGCGCTAGCTAAGTCCAAAGTTGTGAAATAATTACAAGAACCTAATTTGTCTAAAATGTCAGAAATAAATGGAATGGGGTAGCGATCATCTATGGTCTTTTCGTTAACCTTTCGTTAGTCAACCACCATACGCCATTTCTTTTTACCACCAGCATCAGGTTTTTTCGGAATGAGAAAAACTGGAGAATTCCAAGCTGAACTACTATGTCGAATAATATTCTGATCTAGAAGGGATCTAATTTGGCTTTGCATTTCGTCTTTGAGCATGTGTGGATAATGATAATATTTTGTATAAACAGGAATTTCATCTGTGGTCCTAATATGATGCTTAATTTGGTTTGTGAAAGTTAACGCATCACCCTCGTAATAGAATACGTCGGAGTAGGATTGACACAATTTTATAATGGGTTTTTTCTTCATTATTGAGATGACATGTTCGTATCAGTTTACTGATATCATGTCGTTTACGGCATGAGTAAGCGTTTCCTTGATTACACAATCTCTAATTTTGAAATTTGGAATCAAAATTTCTCCATTATAAGTATCGACAGGAATTTTGGCTTGGGCCGCCGTGTAGGGCTCAATTTCTATGAAAAATAACAAACGATTTTTGAAATCATGAAATTTGATTCGAATTTTGGCGTTTTTGCTATGCAAAATAGAATTTCTAAGGTCAATATGTGAATTTAGAAGTTTCAAAATATCTAGACCAATCAGACCATCAAAATACTTGTGAAATTTGAACAAGTGAAATTTTATAGGCTCATTAACATTGAGTTTTGAGAAGGCAGGGATTTTAGCACAGTAGTCTCTCTTCGAATGCAAAAAAACTGAAGTTTCTTCGAATGGTTCTTTATAAATACATTTTGGAAAATGCAATTGTGCAAGGTTAGGATTTAAAAATGATTTCGTTGCACCAGTATCAATAAGAAGCTTTAAAGGCAAATTATTAATTCCAATATAAGGTAACTCTGTTTTGTCATAAATCGTGTTTTAAAAAAAAATATTTGATGTTAAATTACCTCTAGTTGCCAGAAAAAATAGTTAAAAAAATCTCAGTAATATATTCCTTACTGGTACCTCGATTTTCTTTACTTGTTTCCTTATCTCCTGGAAGGGCGCATTTTGGTATCTGATTTCTTCTGATAGTACCCAAAGCTTGAACACCGCGTTGAGATAGCTGTGCCAGAAGTGGTAAGGTGGTATAATAATTATCAAAGTATACATGATAATTCATATCATTTGGTAGATTATCTAGAAGTCTGGTTACGATGTTAGCACATGCCCCTAAATCATTCTCATTTAGCTCTATTGTGTTTTCTTGTCCACTGTAAATTTCAAAATTATAACAATATCCTAAAACTCCGGCCAACACATAAACATTGAATCCCCATTTATGCGGTTTTGCTGGCATGTATTGCTTGAGATAACGTTTTGTTTTTGTTGGGCACATCTGTTCATCAATTGATAGGCATGTTTCATAAGGAACCGACTGGTAACGATCAAGAAGGTGATCAACCAGTGGCCGAATTTTGTGAAATCGATCATGCAGTTCATGTTCCTTAGGTAACATTTTAGAGTTGTCGTTGAAATGCAGGTGTTTTTTATTTTCTCGAATTGCTTTTGCGACATCGTATTTTTGATAATATCTGTACCAATGGTAGAAGACCAATAGCTTCGTAAATTGGGCATATGTATAACTGACATCAGAACACATATTCCAATGTATCTTTTTATATCAGTTTCTTGTAGAGATACAGGATTGCCTGTATCTAATTGTACCGAGAATAAATTTGACTGCTCCACGATAAGCTTGATCAGATCTTGATGAAAAAAGTAGGTGAAGAACTGGTAAGGAGTTTCCAAATTACAAAACACATCTGGCAGTTTTTCACTAACTTTGAATTTAACAGATTCTTCGGGCATAATCAAGTTGCCCTCTCTCCACTTCAGCTTACACAAGACTTCTCTAATTCTTCTTTGATCCTCAGCTGACTTCTTTTTTCTTGTTTTTTCGTCATTGCGGAGTACTTCATTCTTGCGTTTCCGACTAGTATCTTTATTGGCATCGTGTTTTGGTATATTGCCGGAGAAAATGTTTTGTTGGTTGCTTTCACGTAATACGTTTAGATATTCGTCTTCTTGTAAAGTTGAACATGATTCGCTATTACTTTCCAAAGATTGTTCAGAAACATGTGAAGATGACTGCTTTTTATATAAATGTTCGTTAGAAACAGGACGCGAGTCTAGAGACAGATCAGTCAAAATTATCATGGGCATTTTGTCTATATCAAAATCATCATTTTCATCATCCAGAAGATCATTAACTGGCGAAATGTTATCAAAATCTTGTGGGAGCGCGTCGTCATCGTCATCTGAAGTTTCTAGTCCGTCTTCACTGGCTTCAGACAAATGTACTGAAGCTCCGCCTGCAGAGAAAATCAGAAAATTGGACGCCTTTTGTTAGAATTCTATTGCACGTTGTTGCAGCTATGCAACATTGCTTTAAAAATCCCGCATAAATATTTTAGGCTGTAAAGGGAATTGTTGCATATATGCAACATTTCTTTAGTAAGCGTTTTGAAATTCTATTTCACCTTTTTTGTGATAAAAATACTAAATGTGGGTTAAGCTTACCATATTCCTGGCCACAACAATTTTATAGTGCAACTTCACTGAAATATTTCATCAAAAACGAGGACCAAACTTGTTCAATTTTGTGCGAACGTCAGAGTTGTAGGACGCACCGACTTGAACAAGTCCGCATGCTGCCATCTGTGAATTCACTTATAAATTATCGTAATGTAATAGTTTTTGTACGAAATAATCTGCTAGAGGTTTCGGAATATTTATGCATTATATTCAGTTAATCGAAAAGCGTAGCTCGTAGCATATATGCTACGCTACGCATTTAAGGGTTAAGTATATTATGTCTCCTCTATCATGGGCACGGCCATCTGAAAATTTTGTTTCTCTTCCTCAGGCTTTTGTCCAGTTTCAGAAACATCATTTTGTGTCTCATCAGGGTTTTCGTAATATAGATCAGAACAGTCATACTGGTTTTCACTATACTGACAATATTCCGAGTAATAGTCATCGTAAGGGTTGGTTCCAAAATTTTGATCATAAGGATCACTCTCAACGTTATGTAATTCTTGAGAAGCAATGTTCCTTGGGCCAGAAGTCCTAAAACAATCATTTTGGAAATTCTTATTTCTATTGATGCTACTAACACCCCTCGTAGGAGTAGGCCTGTAGGAAGGTCTTTGATTAGGCGGATTACGCCAAACATTAACATGAGGTCTATTGCCAAAAACTTGTGCGTTTGTTGGAAATCTTTGTGGAAGAGGATTTTGTCTAGGTTGAATCGGAACTGGTCCTCTTGGGAATTGAGGCTGATAATTGAAATTTTGCTGAGGCCTAAATTGATTCATAGGCTGCATTTGAGGCTTTAACAAATTTTGAAAATGTGGTTTGGATGGAAGGGCAGGCTGAGGTGGCTTATTGAAATTTGAATGTGCACCAGTCTTTTGTAAATATCTAATGTTATTATCTTCTAAAATATAAGTTTGAGCTTCTGCCAAATTTTTGGGTTCCATAGACCGAATCATGGAACTTTGTGTATGCAATGCATGACTATCATACAGTGCCTTTTTACTAGTTTTAATAGCATCAACTGTTTCATGAATATTTATATAGTTATGTAAATGACTGAGCATGGTTACAACTCTAGAATAAAACTGTAAAGAACTTTCATTAGAATTTTGTCTAACGGCAGTCATATCTGAGATAAGACTACTCTCGTTTCTTTGATCACCAACATGAGCAATTAGCAAATTTTTGATGCTGTTCGAGTCTGTGGAACCACTAAGAGAAAATACTTGCTCTGCAGCACCAGTCAATTTCGAGAATATGCCATGCAGCAGTTTTTTATTTTGAACACATCCCGTATCGTCAGTGTTCCAATAGTTATGTAATAAATCCGTGCTTATTTCTAAATATCTATATAGTCTACAGGGATTCTCATCAAATTCTGCGACAGTTTGGAGTAATTTTATGTCGGAAGGATGTACAGGCCGGGGTGAATCACTCATGAAAAAATAAGGATACAATGAGCACTTACTGATAGGTCCATTACTTCATCTCGTTTTTGGCCTAGGTTCCTCAGGTGGACGTCGACTTCAACAGGACCAAGGGCACTTGTGCGGCCTGCGCCAATTATGTAGTCGGAACTGCAAAATTCGTTTTTCAAAAAACTTTATTTGGTTCCAACAATAATGTACATGGACCGAACCGGAATTACAGTGTGTGTTCGCTGTGACTGAGATTGAATGACTGACTCATAATTAAGATAAAATTGTTAATATAAACCAAAAGTGATTAGCTAGTACAAAGGAATACAATGCAATTGTTATATCAATTAATAGTGTTAAATGACAGCAACATAACTCACTTTTCCACATAAAGCATACAGGATAGAGGGCCTACATCTTGGGACCCATTGATTTTTATTGTTTATACACTGTGAGACATTTATTCAGGATACCCAAATACTGAAATCACAAATTCAGCCCAATTAACTGAAATCATTCTTCTACATATGGCAAACACCTCATTGTATTAACTCGGACGGTGGGTATCTGTGCGTCTGTGCTCGTTAAGGTATTCAGGGCGCCAAGACATATAACAAAAAATCACTTAAAGCAGATATGCGAGTAGGGACGATACCCAATTATGCTGACTTGGACAGCCTGTATCTTATCAGCCGTTGAGTTTGGGGGCCTGTGCCCATAGAGGCATTTGCTAAAGACGCCAAGATACATAATATGTTATAGATACAGCTAATCACTTTTCCCGTAGGCGTGTTGGATGGTCCTTTGCTGACATTTGATTCAAGGAAACTCAGGGTTTTTGAGTGATTGATCTATTCTTTGGCAGTATTTCTTCTCAAGAAATGAACAAACAATGTTGTTGGTATATTATTAAACTTTTTTTGTTCATCTCGGGGGTGGTTTCAAAAAATTATGTAAAATACAATTTACAAGCAAAAGTATATTATCAAGTAAAATGTGGTTACATGCTTTATTCCAATGTTACAAGATTGCTACTTAAAAGTTCAGGCAATTACTGTTTAGTGGTATTTGTAATTCCTATGGTGTTCTGAAAAAAAAATAATATAATTAGCTTTGCTGAACACATTAAAGAAAACGGTATGTATAAACAATCAAAATTCATTAACATACTGTATCAGAGTATCACCAGCATTTTATTATTTTGCTCAGACAATATCAATAATGAAGGCAAGTATGACATAAATTTTACTTACTTATTTTTCCGTAGTTTAACATATAGAAAACTGCCATAGATCCAAAAACAACATGGAAAAATGGAGCAATTCCAGATCTTTTGGGCTGTACATACTTATGTTGCCATCTCCAAAAAGCTGAAAAGAACAGTAAGTCAGAATGATATGTCCTAAGTTAAAGAGTCAGTATTTACTGAACTTCATATCATCAGTACTGACTGTCACTTTCAGTTGATTTCTATGGAACCTTATATATCAAAATATACTGATGTCTTGACTACATGGTCAATAGATGATATGACCTTCCATGATTAATACTGATGGATCACAGTAAATACTGATCATGCAACATTTGCCTTAAAAGGGGGTCAACTTATTTTAGACAGATGATGGTATAACCCCACTGGTCCTCAAATCAATAATACTTTTTTAGGCTGAACTATACTTTAGCCCATATCGCAAATATTTCATTTCTTATTTTAAAATGGAAGATTATGATGTAACTAGTACAAAAATATCATTTATTCTTCAAGGAAGGCTCTGCTTGCTATTGTTATAGAACTTCAAAGTTGCATTTTGGTTGGTAGTACTGTGGTATAGAACACTGCTTTATATGCTGTTTTTTTCTTGTTTACATATACTGTATATTACTGTGACATTATTCATCACAATAATGCAATTTTGCGTCATTTTAATGATTAAAATAGATCATTGTTAATTAGTAATTCCTTTTATTTCTGATAAATATTCCCATCACTATCATAATTTCTCCATCTATATTAATTAAATATTGATTTGGTTTGTCAAATTATTATTTCCTAGGGCAAAAATGTGCAATCAACACAAAATTTCCATCGAAATGCAATTTGGAGGTGTGGCGGGCAGGTTTTACTGTAATAAATCTACCTTCTGCCCTATGATAGCGTTAGATAAGGCCCTTTTTTGAAGAATGCAGTATGCCCTTAACAAAAATACTTTTTTTTCCTATATTATAGTTATAATTCCTTTACTATACCACAAAATATACCTAATTAAATGTAATGGGCAAAAGTAGATGTTGCCAGTTGCTAAATAATGAAAACATAACAAAGATAAAAATAGCAGTAAAAAAAGACATTTTATAACGTGTGTTGCTGAATAAGGTGTTTGGTCCTTATTCAACTACAATGTTGGAAGACAATATTTTAGGTGGACCTGGTGCTGATTGACGAATCGAAGTTTGGTAAGTGCAATTATAACTGCAATGTCAAAGGCCACCGAGTACTAAGAGTGATTGAAAAATCGGGAAGGGGAAATGTCAGGACAGTGTAGGTGTCAGAGAGGAATGCCTAGACGCTTTTACCCATAATCCAACATTATTCTCATCCTGGATCTGGATATCTTTGTAGATATTGCCGCGTGCGCCGAATTAATATATTAGAAGCAATTAGAGCTGAATGTCAGATGTAAATGCTTCTAATAAAAAGGTAAAAATCGCCTTTTTCAAGGTGAATTCCCAATGACAGTTACTATTATTATTGATGATTTACTGAAGGGATTGGCGAGTTATTGATCGCCCGCATCTGGTGCTCCCTGAAAACACCCTATAATAGATTAAGGATTTATTAATAACTTTACTTTTCCACTGTTTATGCACATACTGTTCAAAAGTTCATCTAATTTTCAATATTCACTATTGGGATAACTTCTTATAAAACAAGCCATTTACAATTAAGACTTTTATTTTGCAAATAATTTTTTTGATTTAGTATTTCTCAAAAAAAACAATTTGGCAACAATGGACAGCACTTGTATTCTGTCAACAAATGAACCTTATAAAATGGCCATTGAGAATTGTTTCTATAAACATTTTTTATAAATAACTTTGATCCCATTGAAAATAAGAGGAAAAAATCGTTAAGGAATTTCAAGAAGACATTAAAAAAATCACAATGCACCTCTAAACAGTAATGCCATCATTTAAGTACCTATGTATTTTGATGTATTATTTTTGCTTATTACAGCTAGTTTCTAACCTATTTTTGTGAACATAAGTTTTATAATTTGACATTTATTTTCCTTAAAAAATGACCATTTTTACTGACTCCTGGGCTAAAAAATAGTCTTATTCTTTTTTTTATAGGACTTCTATGTCAGCCCAAATCAAACCACATTATGTTTAAATTTCCTTTTAGTGTATGACATTTTTACCACCACTGAAGCCTTTTTCAAGAAAAATTGAAAATTGTGTAACAATATATTTTGTTTATCTGTCTTTGGGCTGACATTTTATTTGTGTTTTTTCACATTGCTATGTTACTGCAACAGTCTGACTGGTCCTGTAACATGCTGGCGTTGGGCCATCATTCCAATTTCAAGATAGCACCGCATAAAACCAGCAAAGCCCAAAACTCATTGGGGTAGGTTGATCTGCTGTAGGAAGCCCTCTAGAAGCCTCAAACAAAAGGAGGTCATACCAGCATCATGAATCTTCCACTCTTTGGCCCCCAAACTGTATTGTAGGTTATATTGCTAAAACTCACCACGACTGAAGGCTCCAGCGATAGCAGACGGAGTCTTGTTGCGGCGAGCAAACCAGGATCCAATCTCGCCTAACTTGACCTGACCGAAGGGAGTATCAGCTGTAAAAAGTTGAAGATTATGTAATGCAATCGATGAAAATCTGACGGAATTGCGAACTTACGCTTTCCGTAATAGCGTGCTGGGTCATAAACACCATGGATTTTTGGATTGTATTCAGCGGGATAGTCCCCGAAACCCATTTCACTTTATTTTTAAAAATTCAACTAATTTTATCAGCACTCCACTACGGACTACGGTACAGAGGAGACAGAAAAGTAGATTGACATTGATGTCTATTTGGATTGGAGCCACAAAACATATACACTGATGATGTCAACTTAATGACAGATATCCATTTCATCCTTTCATATAATGTATTTTTGTGTATGAATTCTTGGAGAGAAAATGAAAGTTAGGAATACTTTCCTTATTCTGTGCTGTCGCCTATTATTCCATGCCATAAACATTTGAAACCATTGACAAGTACTAGACAGATTTTTGCTTGACAGATGTCGGTACTTGACAGTGTATTTTGTGCTTGTCAGTTTGAAAAAATTGTGGTTAGATGAGTCACATTCCAAAATAAACATTAATTTTTCTGTATCTTTGAAAATGTTTAATTTTTGGTCAAAGCCTGATCCAAAAGGTAAGTATTTTTGAATTATACTACCAACATTTTCATGGATTGAATAGAATGAATATACATATCAATTTATCGTGCAATTCAGTTAAAAACGTATATTTTGGATAATGATATGTAAACTGATATTCTCCATAATTTGTTTTAAATTGTTAACATATAAAGGGTCACCTGAAAATTCCAATTCTCACGTCAAGTTAAACATGTTCATCAGTTAAATCCGACACTGGCTAGTAACGTGTTAGAACACAAATTATATCCATAGGACTCCATTGCCTGCCCAAATCAAAACCACATATATTTGGATTTGTTTTTATTGTACTACATTATGACCATAACTGTGGTCTTTTTCAAATACATTGACACATGTGACAATTGTACTTCAAAAAGGCCACAGTGGTCAGCAAAATGTCCAATAAACTGATAATGAAAACAAAAACACAGCAGGACAAGTTTAAGGAATTACATTAATCTATATCCATGTATACAAATATGATCCAATGTTGTGTTGGTTGCATTCACAACTTACTATGCAATATTTCTATTTATTTTATTATTGTATAGAAATTGTAATACATTTTCAAATCTAAAAAAACTATATCTAACAAAAAACAGTCATATAGTAAAAAATAAGATTTAACAGCATATATCACAATATTCTCAAATATCTTTAGACTGTGGCAATTCTTTATTTCCAAATTAAGTAGGTTAAACATTTTTGGGCCATTAATATTTGGGACTTACACATAATTTGAGTTCTATAAGGTGGTATATAAAAGTCTTCACTAATCCTTGTATTAATTGAATGCATTTGGCCATGTGTTGGGGATTTTTCTCTATTTTTAAATTTTTGTAAACAGTTTCCAATATATATATATATATAAACCGCCGACTCATTTTGCATTGTCTGGGTGCCTGATGACGTATATATATACGTCACTATAATAAAGGTTGAAGTACAGTAACACAGGGAACAATGCAGCTTGAACACTTTATTACTCAATAAAAATCAAACATTTAAATGCTGAAAATATAATAAAAAAACTCAGGACTGAAAGAAACAAAAAAAAAACATTGATCAAGTTAATTTTTAAAGGTCAGCTACTTTATGATAAATCCGAAAGCAGGGCACTACACAAAGCCCAACGTCGCATTCTCTACACATGTAGCTGCTTTCCTTTTTTTCTTTGCTCCTGCTTTCGTCTGGGAGCAGACTGCATCTCCCAGTGGCAGTTTTCTTTCCCTCTTTTTTTGGAACCAATTCCGGAAAATGCTGTTCTGTCAGCCTTGCACTTCCCTGATCAAAATGAAGTGGTTTTACTGTTGTTGTTGTTGCTTATGCCTTTGGCTACGTGTAGGCCTTTCAGAGGGACCAGCGCGCTCTTCCTCCGCTATTTCATGTAATACTAATCACAGTCTAATGCTCGGTTTCAAAAATCGCAAGTATGATACAGACGTTAGACAGTGTAGCGGGATGTCGTAAATTTTTCGGCAAAGCCAAAATCTTCCGTCGTCTGGCTAAGCGGTGAGCTTAACGTTGACATAATATCCCGACGCTCGTGTGTGGTAAAATGCAAGTTTCTAAAGGTGTCGCATCTGTAAGGCAGTAGGCCAATGGATGTAATTCATCGATGTCGGATATATACATCAGGCCGGTGGGTATATTCTATAACTGACATATAAGTATGTCAGTCATACTGAAAGGGCTAATACTTGCTCTGAATCTGTTAAACAGATCTCTACATGATGTTCTAGCACCAGCACCACATACATCTGATAATTCATTTCTGTTTCATGAACACATCTTTTGAATTAGTAGAGATCTCCCAAAACGATATGCCATATCTTATGACATAGTCAACCTGTGCATGAAACCAACTAATTAATTAATTCAGTAGTAGAATATCTCTTAAATTTAATAATAGATAATATAATGAATTGAGTCTCATTATTACATAGTCACAGTGCTGCTTCCACTCCATACAGGATTTCAAATACACACCAAGGAATTTTATGTTTTTCACATTATCATTATTTAATTTGAAACAGAGTTTGTTGCAATTTTTTCACCTTGTGTGAAATCTGATACATTGTGTCTTACTTAGATTTAAATATAAATTATTATTTGAAAACCAGTTATGCAGCCTAGACAAGCTACAATTGAGGTAAGATCTGAGAATGAAGTTATCAATGCATCAAGTACATTAGGTAACTCGTTTACATAAAGCAAAAATAAAGTATGGCCTAGAACAGTCCCCTGTGGGATAGTACATTAGGTAACTCGTTTACATAAAGCAAAAATAAAGTATGGCCTAGAACAGTCCCCTGTGGGATACCCAGCAAACATTCTTCAATCCCAGAATTAACTTTAACCCAAGTACCACCAGAGTTTAAATGGCATATAGCTACATACTACTTTCTGTTTCTGAGGAAGGTCTGCAACTATTCTAATGGCTTTTTTTATGCCATAATGTGCTAGCCTATTTAGAAGAGTATCATGTTCGACACAGTCGAAATCCCTGCTAAGGTCACAAAAGACCCCAACAGTGCTCTCCCCTGCATTGACAAAGTGAACAACTTCATCATAAAATGTATGGATAGCAATCGATCCAAAAATCCATATTCCAGTAATTTAGAAAAAGAGGAGCACAAAGTAAAGGTGTATATTCTCCATTACATGCACGTAATCATTTTTACATAAAGGTAAAATCTTTCCGATTTTCAATATGTCAGAAAGCTTTCCAATACCAAAAAGGTAGATTCATTAAAAAAGTCATAGGGTAAAGAATCTTGTTCAGAACTTCACATATCCAAAAGTTGGGCACCTCATCAGGACCAGATGATTTTTTATTGTTGAATCTCTTGTAAAATTCTTCTAAAAAAGGAACTAAGTGAAATATACTTTCCTTGATATGACTAGTAGTCACTATGACATTGGTTTTCTGAATTTTTGCAGTTATATCTCTTGAAGCATTTTTGAAAAATACATTAAATGAATTGGCTACAGTTTCATGGCAGTCAGTCACCCATATCACCCACTTTTCTGCTGATGTTTTGTTTTCCCTGACAATTTTTTAATGAAGTATATTCCAAGCAGACTGGATTGTTAGATTCATTTATCTTCTGTTGATAAAATTTGCTTCTTGCATCTTTTATTAACTTTTGGTGCTCTCTTTTTACTTTTACTTACAATTCCTCAAATTCCCACCATATTTCCAGAGGAACAAAGGGAAATTGACCGTTCATTAAGAAAAGCTGGTAGAGACATAGAAAGAGATCGAAGGCAGTTAGAAAGAGATGAGAAGAAATTGGTAAGTTGTATTTCTATATCATGAATAAAATTCTCCAACTTTTCTTGTTGTTCAGGAATTAGAAATTAAAAAGTTAGCCAAAGAAGGTGACACCGAAGGATGCAAGTTATTGGCAAAACAACTAGTCCAGCTTAGAAAACAAAAGCAAAGAAGTTATGCTGCAAGCAGCAAAGTGACTGGAATTGGCTACCAGAACAAATCCATGGGAGCAAATATGAAATTAGCTGAAGCCATGGGAACTGCTGGAAAAACCATGGCAGACATGAACAGAATCATGAAGCCAGAACAGATAGCTGCAACTGTTAATGCATTTTCTAGAGAGAACATGAAAATGGAGATGACAGATGAAATGAGTAATATACTTATATTATTTCAAATAATAAAATTTCATCTGACATTTTTTTAATTTCAGTTAATGATACATTGGATGATATGCTTACTGAGTCTGGGGATGAAGAAGAGAGTGATAACATTATCACTCAGGTGTTGGATGAGATTGGCATTGAAATAAGTGGAAAGGTATGTTTTTTCTTTTTGTTGATGTTCCTTTATGTTTAACTGGTATCAACTTCACTTTCAGATGTCTGGTGCACCAATGCCCGAGTCTGGTAAAGTTGGAGAACATTCAAAATCTAAAGGCCTTACAGATGATGAGATTGAAGCACAATTATCCAAACTTCGGGGTTGAACTATCTCTTATTTGTAATTTTTTCATCCTGCTAAGATTTGTTAAGTTTAAAATGTGTGGCAATAGTTAAGGGGGCATTAGTCAATTTTTTCAACTTATATAATAATAATAATAATAATAATAATAATTTATTGGTACTATTACACAAAAATGTGTTTGCACAGGTCATTTAAAGTAGAACATAAAAGAGTAAGTAAAAGTAACAAACAATACGAAAATAAGACAAACGTAAAACACAAAGTGGCAATAAAAGGTAAAAAAAACTTGATAAAACTATTTTAAAATTTAGAGGAACAATAAAATAAGATGGTTAAAAAATTATGAAATACTAATCATTTTTTCATGTTTGTACTCAAATATCCTTACACACGTCTGGAGAACGATAAAATATAATACAAAAATAACACATAAAAAAAACAAACGAAAACAAAGTAATAAATAGTCAACAATTATGGAACAAAGTCGGTAAAATCATTATTTAAAAACTCATCTATGCTGTAAAAAGCTTTCGTCACTAAATATCTTTTCACAGTTGCTTTAAAAATGGTTGAGTTGAGTGTTTGACAAAACTTGGGCAGCGCATTAAAAAATTTCACACCGAAATAATTACTTCCGTGTCTAGTTTTTGAAAGTCTTGTGTACTCTGGTATTAATTCATTGTTGAACCTTGTGTTATATTTGTGAATCTCTTTCGGAGTTCTGTAATCATCGTAATTATTTTTAACGTGGATCAGACATTCCAGTATATATATGCATGGCACAGTTAAAATGTTTAGGTCGATAAATGTCGTCTTGCAACACTGTCTGAAATATAAGTTTGCTATTATTCTCAAGCATCGTCTCTGAACAGCAAACACCTTCGATACATGACATGAATGTCCCCAAATCAGTATGCAGTATTGCAAGTTAGATTGGAAGTAAGCATAATAGGCTGTCATTAAAGTCGATTTTGTTACGTAGGTATTTAAACTACGTATCATATATGTTATTTTAGATAACTTCTTTGATAAAGAAGTGATGTGTGATTCCCAAGTTAAGCTTGCATCAATAATCACTCCAAGAAATTTCACGGGCTCTACTAAATCACTTCTATGTGGACGAGTACTGAGTAGAAGAGATTGAGTTTTCGCTATGTTGATTGACAAACTGTTGGCATTAAACCAGTTTTGAATGTTGTCAAAATGCTGCTGAGAATCGAGCAATACATGATCAAAGTTACTATTGGAGGATATTGATGTCGTGTCATCCGCAAATAATATATACTGATTGATGCTACAGTTTGGCAGATCATTGATGTAGATCAAAAAAAGAATCGGTCCCAAGACACTTCCTTGGGGAACTCCGTGCTTAATATGCACATTGTTGGATAAACAATTTTGAAAACTAACATACTGTCTTCTATCTGATAAATAAGACGCAATTAAGGACAGGCTATTATTACTAAAACCATACAGCGACAACTTTTGAATCAAAATGTGATGTTGGACACAATCAAATGCTTTTGTAAGATCATAGAAGTTAGCGAGGGCAAACATGTTATCTTCCAGACATTTGTTGATGAAACTGATAAAATTGTTTATTGCTGCTTTCGTTGATCTGTTGGTACGGTATCCAAACTGGTTGTTACAGAATAAATTGTTACCTTCGAAGTATTCACATATCTGATTCTTCAGAAGAATTTCGAAAATTTTTGCTATAATTGGTATTATAGAGATGGGTCTGAAATTACATGGATCATTCTCACAGCCTTTCTTGAAGAGTGGCACAATCTTTGCAAGTTTTAATAAGGCAGGAAAGACATTATTTTCTATACACATGTTTATCAATTTTGTTATAGGATATACTAACAAGTTATTTAAGGTCTTCATAATTTTAACATCGATGTCATATGGATCTTTACTTTTAGAATTCTTTAAGCTTTTGATTGCGTCTCGAACATCATTGAATGAAACAGTTCGAAAGTTGAAATGTAGTGTATCACTAGTCTGTATAAAATCTTTGAAGTTCGACTGGGTAGCTGGAATTTCAGCGATAATGGTATCAGCAATGCTGACGAAGAAAGAGTTTAAATCATTCGCGCTGAGAGTAGACGAATGTGCTTTTGATGATTGCACACCATTGGATTTAATCACGTTCCACATAGCTGCTTGTTTATCTGACGCTCTACGTATATATTTATCATGAGCATTTTTTTTCCTAATTCTGATTTCTGATCGGTACTTTGATTTGAAGACATTAATCTCCTTCTTTGATACTACTTGGGGATTATCTTTATTAATTTGTGTTATTAGTTCCAAAGTCTCTCTCATATGAGCCAATTCGTGATCAAACCAGTTGATTTTGTTGCGACAACCCTCTGATACTAACCTAGATTTGATTGGCAAGCACTCAGCGATATTATTTGTTAAGATGTTCATGAATCGTTCGAGTTTAGTGGTCAGTGGTAAACTAATATCAGACAAAAAGATCCAGTCGACTGTTTCAATTTTACTGTATAACTTGAAAAGACCTTCATCAGTGACAGGCCTGTAGTTTATTCTCTTCCTAACAGGTTTTAGAGTTTTCAAATTAAAATGAAATGCAATACCTAAATGGTCAGAAAAACATGTATCAAAGGCTTCTACAACTATGCTTGACATGTTTATATTGGTGAAAATATTATCTAGACAAGCATTCTGCCTAGTATTCACATTCACAGTCTGATACAGTCCAAAAGAAACACAAATATCACACATCACATTGGCATGCTTGTCGTGAGTGTTAAATTTAAAATTAAAATCACCAGATATGATTATATTTTGCTTATAGTCTAAAGCACTAAGTAGTATTTGAAGCTTATTATAGAATATATTGAAGTCTCCATTTGGTGATCTATATATGGTTAGAATTTGTGTGCCATCCAAACAGGTGACACCAGCAACCTCAAAGTGTAACTCCTCAGAAATGTTTAAAACTTTGTCACACAAAGGCTTAGCACTAAACTTATTATTGACATAAATACAAACACCACCGTGGATTTTGCTTGACCTGCAAAAACTAGACACATTCATATATTCACAAATATTCAGAGTATTAATCTCATCGCAAGTCAACCAATGCTCATTCAAACAAAGAAAGTCATAACTGTGCTGTTTTGCCACCAACTCAAGTTCATCAACCTTGTTTCTCAAACACTGTACGTTTAAATGTAAAAGTTTATACCGACAATCTTTCGTGCGCACTTCACAGGCGCGAGCGTGTGATAAGGAATTTTTCGATACATTCTGTTTACCCGAATCATATCGTACTAGGTGATTAGTATCGGATTCCCACTGGCCAGTAAAAAAGCACCAGTACTCTCACTGTTGCAATGCACTCGACGTTCCATTTTATAAATTGGAATTATTGGAGGCGATAACAAAACGTTTCTTTTGAAGGTAGAGCAGCTCGTCTGCACATGACTTCTTATGATGTTTGCCAGTGATTTGCGAAAACCATTCTTTACTACTAATAACTTCACTGAACAGTTAGGGTTATTTTTAATATAACTAGTTATTTTGTTTTCCAATAGAACTGCTAAGGCTTCATCTACAGGCTCGGACTTTAGAAGAATTACTAGATTTGTAAATTTACCCAGTGGTAATACATTTCTAAGAAAACTGTTCAATGTTTTGTGGTTGCTTATGTTTTTTGTGCTGAAAACAATAATTACATAGTCACTTTGTCCATGATCCATAATTTGAGTGAAAATATTACTTGTGATATTTGCAGCCTCTGTGTTGGGCTTAACAATTCCTTCAACTATATAGCCTATGCTCTTCATTGAATTATGTAAGACTCTAGCGCAGTTTCTGGCCAATTGATCGCCCACAATGAGCAGTTTCTTGGAAGTCTTCGCACTGTTCCTGGATTGTTTAAAAAGTTCATCATACAAAGATACATTTTCCTCAGTCCTCAGCTGTTTATCCCTATCGTCTAATATATTCTGTTGATCGTTGGCATTTCCTTCAGTGTTCTCCGACAATCGACACCTGTCTTCTTTTGTTCTTTCTTCTAATTCGCCTATTTTCCTTGAGTATGCATTGTTTGTTTCTTCCAAAAGACTAATGGTTTTCAGCATATCGGCATGAATATTTTTTAGCTTCGTCATCTCTGTTTGCATGTCTTTTGTCATTTGTTCATAACTGTCCATCTGTTTCTGAAGGTTTTTGTTCTTCTCTTCTGCGTCGACTATTTCTTTTTGTAGTGTACACATTCTTTCTTTTTGGTTTTTCAATTGGTCTTTAAAAGAATTTTGCTCCTCTATGAAACTTTGTTCAGATTCAAAAACATCTTCTTCAAAATCCTTGGCCTTCTTCGTTAATCTAATTATATGTTTCTCTTTATCTTGTATCTCGTGCTTTAATGAGTTAATTTCTGTAATGTAAGAATCGTAGTTTCGATGCTCGTTATCCTCCGATTCACAGGCAGCAGAACAATATACTCTGTTATTTGAGAGCTTTACAATTGAACTCAATCTATTTGCACAGCTCGCGTGAAAAATTGCATGGCATGATATGCAAAAATAAGAAAGAGCTTCTTTTGTTTTGCAACATTTGAACCTAGCTACCATTTTCAACTGGATACGGGCCTGTTTGTTTTCTTATTTGTTATCTTGTCTTTCGTAAATATATGGTGATTAGGAATATACTCACTGGTCGTTTTTGTCGATTTTTCTCGTGCTGTTTTTTTGTACTTATTTGCGTTTTGTAATTAATCCTCAAAATCAGTGTTTCTGAGTTGCAGTTTTTCAGCGTATAATTTATAAAAATTGCTCACATGTAGATGCAGCACTGGTTCAAATTTGAAAATTGTCTCTCAAAAATAACCCACTATAGTAAGCAAAAACAGACACGACGATAAAAGAAGGTGTTACACCACATACATAAAATCAACTTGAGGCTTTCTTTACAAGGAGACTATAATATATTCCACGAGTATCCATTACAGTAGAATGCCAGCTGATTAACTAGTAATATTTCAAAATTTCCCATATCAGCGAATGCGATGATTCATTACTAGTAGAGGTTGAACTACTAGAATGGTACCTTCCCTTTTTGATACCGTCTTTTTTATACAAATGACCACTTAATTATTAAATCTAACACTAAATAGGATACTATATACACCAGAACACAAAACAAAAATAATAGCTCTTTTTCAAAATCACAAACAGTCTAATTTATCGCGAATATTCTTGGTTACAACACCTGAGCTGTAAACTTTCGCAAACAGGGGCTCGAACTAAAACTCACGCACATCTTATAAGAGTATATTCTAGACTGCCGTAACAGGGTATTTCGCTACCTAACCGTTTTAAAAATAAATAAAACGGCGCTGATTTCTTATCGTCGGGCGTCCCAATGGTCTGTTTCCATCGGCGACAGGTTAACGCGTTATACATACTAATGACGGATCTGTCAATGCCAGGTAGACAGAGCCATATTTTGTTTTGGTTTTTTGTATGCTACAGATTTATTTTGCACTTGCTAAAAGCTCTTTTATTTTGCATAGAAAAAACAAAATACTACGTACACATATTGCTAGGTTTACACCCGATTCATTATTGCTAACTAACACAAAAATGTCACTTGCTGATCAGCTGTTCACCTCAGTAGACGTCAGAGTGCAATAGGGTATAGACAAATTTGATCGTAGTCTCAATTTTTATGGTGATTCTAATTTTAAAAAAATGACGCCATTTTAACTATTTGCCAAATAAATATATTGTATATACTGATATTTTGCTAAGATTTATGAGAACCATTATGGTATTATGGTAATTTTTAATAAATAAATAATTTGAATCAGATTCTTTATTCACATATAAAATATACACTATCACATTCTACATATGTACCTGCAACTTATACATTATTATGTATAACAAATTATTGCAGTTCATTTCAGGGAATAATGTTGTAAAAATGAATAATAATTTCATTCATTATGGTAAAAAAATATTTAGAGATCAATATGTTGAGTAAAAATCAGAGGAGATGTAAAATCAAATAAATTAGTTTAATTCAATCAATACCTTCTATCTAAAAAATAATTGAAATTATATACTCATACATGAAATAGTAACAAGACTAGCTTTTATTTATTGGAAAGATATAAGCAAAAACATTGTGTATAATGGAATGGTTCATAACTTGAGGATTCAGTCATATGTACATTTTAAACTGTATTTTTGCTGGTAACTTTCTAGGCAATCTTTATTTGATTGCCATTTTTAATGTTATAACTAACTGTTGATAGCTTTTATAGTGTCCGAACTAAATGAAATCTTTAGTGTAAATGTGTAGTATCAGGAGTACTTTGCCTACTAACACTTCTACTAGATCTTAAGTTGTACCTGCCAATCTGTCCACCTAAATGGTTGAGTTTCTTTCTAAAAGATCTATTCTCTATAGTTGATTTATTCACATCCAGTTCAGTAACTTCTTTTATACTAAAGCTATCATAATCATCTAAAAATGAGCTACTGTTGCTAGTTAAGCTTTTGGTTAGACTGCCATTTAAATTACCATTTGTTTTTATTTCTAATGGTTTTCTCCCACTCTCATTCAAATAACTGATATTTGTTTTTTCTTTGCTATTATTAAGCTTTAGGCATTCCAGAATTTGTAATATTTCATTATTCTGGCCAAGAATTTTATATAATACTTCATAATTCTGGATATTAACAGACTTCGAAATAAAACTTTTATAAATAAATATTAAACATGCTATACAGACAAAACCATACCTTAAAAACCAAATTATGTTGTGGATGCTAATATACAAATAGCTAACATTAAATGTATTACCATATGAGATCATAAATGAGCAAGTTAACCTTTCTAACATAAACACTAAAGACAGCAGGATAAACATTGGCAAACGAGCAGAACTTGTAGTACCAGTGGATGTAAGTGCATAAATTAAAAAATAAGCAAGAGCATAAAAAAGTACAGAATCAATCCAAGACACCTCACCCACTACCCAACTCTGTAAATTAATAATGCTTTGTGTAAGGAGCTTTAGAACTTCTTGATGAGCCTGAGATGACATATAGATCTCATCTAGGACTCCTTCTAATACCCTTCCATGCTTCAACATTTTTTCTTGAAGATCCAGACTCTCCTTCTGTGCTTTCAACAAATATTCTTGATTCTCCGCTGTTAGCTCTAACTGCTTTCCAACCCTCAGGGTATTTTCAGCAATAGTTTCATGCCAAATTTGCCCTCTCAAAAACCAACATATGTTTTGTGTATGGGTGTAAAACTCTGTGTATACATTGAAGGCCCTATCAGTCATACTGTTTATACAAATAGCTCTCAAATTTGGCTTTTTGTCCAGTTCACAGTTGTAGGTTTCATGACCAGACATTTCCAAGAAGCAGTTTGTGATGTGAAGTGCTATGTCACTTTGTGTTTCTTCTGAAAGTTGCCTGCAACCTTCATCAAGAGTTTGTAAGGCTGCTTTCCAACATGGACCATATTTAGGCAAGTTTGAACGTTCCTTTAGCAGCTAGAATATAATGATTTGCCTATAAAGTTAACTCGGGTAGATTATGAAACATTACCTGGTATTGTGTCCTTCCTTTCTCTGTCATCTCTTGGCTCCCTTGACCATAAACATAAATGAAATCTTCAAACGCAACAACATATACCACCAAGTACAGCAGGAGTGTTTGCAGCACTTGCTGGGACATTTTGAAAATACCTTTTTACAATAATTAGGAATCAGCAATCATTTGAAAATTGTTTACATATTTCAAATCATTCTGACAGTTGTGGCCGGTGGCCGTTGACTTTAATATTTTGACAGTAATGAAAGATCCGAAATGTTGATAGAACAGACATTCGAAAGTCAGAAAAGACGAGTGTCCATAGTCGCCATATTGTTAATTTAGTTCATCCAGGATATGCCGCCATATTGCTAGATCACAATTTTTTCCGATAGGCAGAAATTTGGGGCATTATTGCATTTTCCTTATCCGATATTTATGTATTGAGAACCAAATTTGTCTGACGGCTCGAGTTCTATACGTACGAGAGAGAAGTGTGTAGACACATGATATGTTGGAAGGTGATAGAAGCAGGATGGATAACGAAGTTCATCACCGCGTTGCCTAGCCACTCTGACGCGGCAATCAGCCGTGTCATCAATATGTTAATTGCTTGAATCAAGATGCATGTTGGAAATATGCATTAGTTTATTCTCAACGCCCAAATATTGCTTTTGAGCATACACATTTTTAAATTGTAAAGAATCATTGTAGGTCAAAATGAAAAGTCAGGATGGCCACAAATTCTACAACATTGCATCATTGGTTCGCTTGGCAACACCGCATCTCGTACATTCCAACGCCAGGTTTCCACCTCCATGATCGTAGATGAGCGATTTTGGTCAGTACCCATCTAGTCGCAAAACTCAAGCCATTAGACAAATTTGGTTTTCCCTGTATTCTACTTTGCCAAAGTCAACCCGTCATTTTGCCATTTCAGAAATTTCTTCGGGAAAAGGATTTGATTTACCAGGAAGCCCATATTTAAAAAAGGTAACTTTATTATATATTGTCGTATGTAAATTCTTATCATTCTCTCATAATGTTCATCATTGAAGATATTCTGAATTCAATTTCCTGTTGCAATGCAAAAATTGTTGGTAAAGATTGTTATTACACCATTCGCTTTTCTGGATCACAGTTCAAAGGTCCTCACTCTTATTCTACCTTGGCTTTTCACTGCTAAGGTCCTTTTTGGCACAGCAAAACGAAGTCTTAAACTATTCTCAATTTTTTCCCTCAATTGCTTGGATATTCTACCACTTTGTAGTAATGCTAGTTGTTGGCTGGTAAAAAAAAATCGAATATTAGAGCATAAAGTGTCGTATTTCTCACGAAGCTCTTGATTTTCTTCTCTTGCAACAAGCTCAGCAGCTTCAACACATGCTTCCAGTTGCTGCCTTAATATTGCATTATCACTTCTGAGTTGTTCCATAGTCTGAAAATCATTTATAAAAGTCTACAAAACACTGTGACAGTATAATTGTGAATTGTAAAAATTATTATATGCAGATTAGTTGTTAGTATGAAGTTGAAAATTTGGTATGAACACTAATTTGAAATAAATTATAAATATGATATGACTATACCTCATCTTTTGGAGCACTTAATATTTCCTGATCAGTTTTCAGAATCAATCTGTTTTTTTGCAGAGACTGAGACACTGCAGAGTTGAAAGATTTTCTAGGGCTATCAGGTTCTAATTTCAACCGTTGAGAAGATTCCTGAGTAGGAAAGAGAAAGTGTAAGGGAAAAAATGTTGAAGTTGTGAGATTTAGAACTAACTTATAGGTATCTGTATAAGTGTTCATCATCTGTGGCTTAATTTGTTTATAGAGGTTTTTAAAATGCATGAATATTCAAATGATGATAATATACTACAAGCCCCTTCCCACTTCAGTTGACCCAACTATTGAAATCTTAGTTTTTTTCTTATCCAACACAAATAATAAAAATGTAGCAGGGTGTTATAGGTTTAAAATATTAACAATGAATATTTTGATAATATATAGTAGAAAACACCAACCTAATCAAATTTGCAGCATAAAAATAACACATGTTGCAATTACAGCATATCAACCTATTTTCATTTCAATGCAAAATAAGTCTATAACGCATAGGTGGCTGTGAAAAATAAAAGGCATGACAATTGTTTTTATTAATTACAGATGTCAGAATACGTTTAAAATAGTTTTGGGTAGTTAAGGTTTTCAAAATGGGTAGAGGAAAGGTTACTAGTCAGAAAATTCGGTTACTAATAATTAATTTTTTTAATTCTGGGAAATCAACCTCAGAAATTTCAACTTTGTTAGACTTATTGCGGTACAGTGTGAGAAATATTGTTAGAAGATATAACGTAACTGCTTCAGTTAATATTAAGCCACGATATGTGAAAAAAGTAATATCACAAATGTCGACCAAAGAGCATAAAGAAGAATAATCGTGAAAAACAGGCGTGCCAATTATTTACAAATAAGTGCTCTGTGGAGTGATGCTGTTGGAAGGAGAATTTCGAGATCCACAACTCATAGAAGGCCCACAAACTGGGATTTAGCACTTGCAAGTTTTCTTATAAAAAAAAGTGACATAAAAACCCTAAAGTTGCACAACTTGTTTATAGGCCAAAGAAAAGCCACTATTAACTCCACTGCAAAAGAAAAATGGTCTTAGATAGGCTAAAGAACATAGACAATGGTGTGCAATACAATCGAGTGATGAGGCCCGATTCAAAGTTTGTGTTGGTGACAGTCACAGTAGAGTTATTCGCAAAAAAAATGAAGCATTCCATGTTGACTGTCTAAAGAGAATAGTGAAATTTCCCGCATCCATAATGGTCTGGAGTAGTATGTCATCGAAAGGAGTAGGAAAACTTCATTTTATTTATGGAAATGTGGATACAAACAAATATTTGGCAATTTTAGAAGAATCGCTTTTACCAGCGATGGAAGAATGTTTGACATCTGGCCAAGATTTTGTGTTTACCTCAAAAAAGGCTATAAAATGGATGGAAGAAAATAATGTACCACTTTTGAAATGGGTTTTTATCAGTCCAGATCTGTCACCTATTCAAACTTTGTGGCAAAAGATGAAAAAGGTTCTACGACAACATCCTGCTCGTACAATCACCGAACTGAGACAAAAGCTTCAAGAAATATGGGATTGTTTTACACCACATTTTTGCCAAAACTTGGTTAACACTATGCCCCAAAGAATTTCAGTCCTAATAAAAAATAAAGATGATGTTACCCAATGGTAATCTTTCAATTGTTGCTTTGTTAACTTCGCGCATTTATTCGCACATTGTTTATTTGTTCAGATGTTCTATTAGTTATAGGTCTAAGTGATTTCAAATATATATTTTTTACGACTAGAGTGTATCTAAAATGTTTTTGAGAAAATAAATTGTGTTAGAAGTAAATAGTTTCGTCACGTTTAGTTTATAAAGGCAGATTTTGGTACAAATCTTGAAGCGGACCAACTGAAGTGGGAAGGGGCTCGTACTATGAACTCACTCTATTAGATTTTCTTTTTGACCTAACAGCAACTTTTGGACCGGAAAAGTCAAATAAAGTTGGTATTGCCGTTGATTTTAACTTGCGCCAACCATCTGCTCTATGCTTTTCCCATTGGTCTTCATCAAAATGTACCTGAAAACCAAGGTTGAGATTTAAGATGTACAAGTTTCTTGACGCATTTGAGCTCATTTATCATTCGTGTTCTCTGGAACTTACTTCACACAAGCCTGAGCATTTTGTTGGAACATAATTTCTCCTGCGCATATTACGAAGCCATTTCTTCCTTCGTTCGGGATCCGCTGGGAACGTGAAGGTGCGGTACCCAGTTTCATGGCGGTTTTTACAATTTACGGCAGCACAACAAGGCATGTTAGGATAGAATTAACTTTTAAATCAAACAAAAAATTAGAAAGTGAGTTAAATGTTTCAAACTCAAAGTTTTTGTTGATGAATCGTCCGTCATGTCATATGTGTCACTCACAAAACATATGCACTGAGTGTCAGGTGTCACTAGTTGTGTCGTTCCGTGCCGTTTCGATATGTTTGTATGAATTGTGGCGTGGTGAACTGGTGAGGTGGTGAGTCCGATGGGACGTCGGAACGAATCCAGCTTCACAGTCCAATCGGTTCCGATAGAATGAAAATACAAAACGGTTCCACCGCATTGCATTTGTTCTGCGAACTGATCACGCAAGCTCTTCGGAGGACCGAACATTGACGTCTTACCCAAATATAGGTAAGACGTCAATGGGACCGAAGCTCCGCGAGTTCGCGCGCCGATCGGTCGATCAATGTATTATGTTTTGTGGGTCGATCGGTAATGTCAATCGTGCGATATTTCGAGCTTCGAACGGTTTCTAATTTCCTATTATCAGAACGGTAACGAGTAAAATAAACTTACAGCTATCATACAATTGTGGTTTCATTGTTATATAGAACAAAAAAGTGACTTGTCATACCCAATTTTTCAATAATTTATCAATTACCAATTGTGTTATCATCACCAATCTACTGTATATCTGACAACAATGCGTATCGAAATGGTTCGGTAAAAAAAAATGCAGCAAGGGTATTATGTAAAAAAACCTAAAAATGTAATAACCGACGAAATGTCATCTTGCAGACTAGGTACATAGTTTTTAGGGCGGAAACAGTCATTCCACGTTTGCTCACTATACTAGAATACCAAAATTGTTGACAGTAGCGAAACTCATCGTACGCCACTGCTATTACGCGGAGGCCTTCGAAAATGCGGCGCTTCTTTGTGAAATGTCGGTAAACGTCGTTGTAATCAAAAGGTACAGCGTCAAAGCAGTGGCGCACGATAACTTCTGCTACTGTTATCAATTCTGGTATTTGACTATAGGAGGGTTGTGAACGTCCATCTATGGATGAATCAGTCAACTAAACTACACGCATTGTTGATTGTCTATATTTTGTGAAGCCGAGTGGTCTGTAGTTTTTATCAAAGAAAGTTGGTTGACTAGCAAGATCGCATCTGGATCATTATGTGTATTGGTCTGCATATGTATAAAATCAGTGATATTTGCTGTGTGAGAAAATCATTACTGAATATGCTGCCAATGAGCTATATCTATTTGCTGTGCCCGACTGGTTATTTATATGTTGTCCTTTCTGAAGAAAGGTTATGTTCAAAATTATAAATTACGAAAAACTTTTAGCAGAATAATGGGAAATCATCACCGCGCCCGCGTTGCTTGTAATTACTGTTTGCATGTATATGACTTGTAGTTCGACAGTGTAGAGTGAATATAATTATTTCGTATCTCTCTCATTTTTTGAATTCATCAAATTTGTGTAATTTCCAGAATGGTTAAGAAAAAGTGGATGCGCAATTAATTTCTAACTTTGAATCTCAAGTAAGTGTATTTGAGACAAGAATCCAATGGGATTATCATCAACACATACAACTTACAGCTTAGACCTCCAGTAATGCCTTTTCTGAAGCAGTTTTTACGTCACATCAGAGCAAAATATTGATAACTGAAGCCTTTTGACGTTTAGGCAACTAAGTGCTAAGTTAACATCTTGTAGAAAAACCTACATAATGTCACAGGAAACCAATACAATGTCAAAAAAAATCGGCATAATGTTACTTTTCAAGATACGTTTTTTGCGCATCCACTTTTTCGTATCCATTCTGGAAATTACATATGCAAATTTTCTGGATTTCAAAAGTGAGAGAGATAAGAAATAATTATAATCACTGTACAATGTACATATCACGCGGGAGCGATCGTGATTTCCTGTAATTCTCCTCAAAGTTTTTCTTATTTTATAACTTTTAAAGCACAACCCAAATAACTCGTCGGGCACAGCTAATAGATATACTTCATTGGCAGCATATTCAGTAATGATTTTCTCACAGCAAATATCACTGATTATATACACATGCAGACCAATACACATAATCATCCAGATGCGATCTTGCTATTTAACCAACTTTCTTCTCAGAGATGAAAGCTACAGACCACTCGGCTTCACAAAACATATGCAACCAACAATGCGTGTAGCTTAGTTGAGACATTCCTCCATAGATGGACGCTCAAAGCGATCCGAGTGAGCAAACGTGGAATGACTGTTTGCACCCAAAAAACTACCTAGTCAGCAAGATGACATTTTATAGGTTTTTTTGACGTTTTGCAGGTTTTTTACAAAATAGTCGTGAGGAACCCTCAATTGGACGTATTTGTGGAACGGGTTCGATAATGGAACAAGACCAGCGGAACCGAATCCTTAAATGGATCTGGACTGCCCAACACTATATCACTTGTGATAGTTTTTCACCCAGCATATATGCGACGTAGCCAAACTCTCGAACAAGGCTTCTAATAGGCCAGGAACACTAGATATTCGTGCGTTTATACTGATATTCACTGAAGACTCAGGTTAACGTACTCTGCCTGAACATAGCCAACCAGCGGCGGCCTTACCCATTGCGAGGCTCCGGGCGGCAGGTTTTTGCGAGGCCCTTAGTCCTTTGTGAAAAGTATGTGATGCGAAAGTAGGTCTGGTTGTTTGGTTTAGGTATTTGTCACGTTTGACGAGAAATGCAACAGTTATATAAATAAATAAAATTTGTGTTTTTTCACATTATTCCAGCTCACTCAATACTTTAAATACTATAAGAACGTAATATTCAATAAATCGGGATATTAACGGTACAGTAACGACTAACGACTTTGTAACTCATATTGTAAGCTAAATAATTCCAAGGTGGCATGAGTTGATGATCGAAATGAAACATGGGGATTCCCCGAGCGGTAGAGGAGCAGAACATTGGAGATTTTTTCGAGAGATCCCGTAGTGAACCGGGGCGGGAACAGATGGAATTTCCTCTTCCTCTCGAAGTTTTGACAGTTTCAACTTACACCAGGATTGGTTAGATGGCACATGTTGCCCAAAATATTTGCTTTGAGCTCCTTGATAAACTTAGCTGCTTTGTTTGTATCTGAAATAAAGAGACCGATCGTTTTTTGTGCAATGTACATATATATCAATAAAATCAATCATTTGATATGACAAGTGCGGTTCATATATCTTCGATGACCTTCTCCCTCGTCATTTAAAATCAGGTGGACGTGTTCTCCCATTTATGGTTTAATAATTTAACTCAATTTACGGCACTGCGAAGACAAATTTTCAATTGAGATGCCTATTTTTTAAATGACATTGACATAAGACCTGTCACCCGCTAGTACCTCACAGACGTTAGGCGGGTACCCGCACCACGTGATTTTTTGACATCCGTCTTCCCCTATTCCCGTTCTTCGCAAAAATATGAGTATCGGTTCCCGGTAGTGCACTGTGCTACACCGTGGACTCGCGAAAAAATCCTTATGTCCCGACTACCGAGCTGACCCGAGTGCTAGTCGATTAAAAAACGATCTTCAAGTGTTTCGAGGCGCGATATTCAAGTACTAGATAATGAATTTTTCAATTATGTTTTGAATGAATGAATTAGTTAACTAACTTTATTTTAATTTACCGCTATGTTAATACCTCAATAAATAATTAAGGATCAAAATCAAAGGTTTTAAATAAAAAATATATGGTTAATTAATTTATATCTTTTTAAATTTGCTTGGGTTGTTGCGCGATTGCCCTGTTCGCCACCCCCTAAAGCCGCCGCCGTAGCCAACCTTATACTGTATTCCCGCTGCTAAAAAGGGAAGACCTTAGCGCCATATATGACAGTAACAGAACACAAAATGAATTTTTAAATCTACTTCGAACACACTTTCTCTTTCAAAGTGAATTTCTAAATTCTCATTTTTGTGTTCTGCTGCTGTCGTATACATGGCGCTATGTTATTTTAGATTTTTTTTTTGATCACCCGAGTGCAGTTTGGCTATTTTGAGGTAGAATACGTTAATTCATTGTGATGACCTGACGAGCGGGTTGTTATACTGGGTGTTTCAAATTCGACCCTCACCATTGCGATCTCGGAGACAGTAAGAGGTACGGTCATTTAAGTCGGGACAAAGTTGCGTATCCAGGTAACTAACAAAATACCAGTTAGAACGTTTCAAAATACAAAGTACTTCCGGAGAGAGACGGAAAAAACTGATTCTTCTCAAAATCGTCATTATATGATATGCCATGAATTATGTAGTCGGAACTTCAAACTTCGTTTTTAAAAAAACTTTATTTGGTTCCAACAATAGTTTACAGGGACCGAACCGGAATTACAGTGTATGTGTGTTCGCTGTGACCGAGATTGAATGACTGACTCATAATTAAGATACAATTGTTAATATAAACCAAAAGTGATGAGCTAGTAAAAAGGAATACAATGCAATTATTATATCAATTAATAAAGTGTTAAATGACAATTTGGTGATAGCTACAATAAAAGGACTTGTTTACTAATAACATTTCATTTATTTGTGAGGGTGATATGTTTTCAATAAAATGGTGTAAAAAAAGCTTGTTACATCAAAATATTATACATATGTGTAATGATCACAGAATATACTTTAAAGCTAAATTATAGTTGTATAAAAACAGCAAAAATTTGATTTTTTCAGTTGAAGATCCATTAAACACACAGAGCTGACTAAAATCGAAGAATGCATAAGTTAATGCTTCCATTAGGATTGTTTGGTTATAACATTTGCTCTTTAAGCTCCCATATCATTAAGTAAAGGCCTCAAAGCACCAACAACCTTGGTCCCATCATGACTGTCTACTATAGGCGAGTAAATTTAGTGTTATTTTGAGGAACCATGATCCATAATATCCTGTTGATATCCAAAACATTTCTGTTAGCAATATCTGACCCTATAGTATATCACCATTTTAAAATAAATAAAATGGAACCTTGATGTTATTTTTCTTTCAGCACCAATCAAATAGGCCTATCAAAAAATGAACTGATTACAACAGAAGCCTCATGTCTTAAATTCCTTAGGCTTACTTATCTAACAATCTAAGATCACCCTAGGATGTAGGATACACCTTTTTTTAATTTCAACTTCTGATATACAGTCTTATAAATTATATATATATATATATATATATATTCTCTATCTGTTTCCGTATTATACTTTCTACTGTTGTATTCCAAAGACGGGACAGTAAATGCTTGTCTCACTACCTATTAGAAAAACTACACATATTCAAGCACAAAGCAAGATGTCATGAATGAATGAAGACTTGAGATATAAAAGTTCCTGAGTCAATGGTTTCCTGATCTTGCTGGATAGCACCTAATCATTTTAATATTCTGCAATCTAGCAACTCATCAATTTCATCAAAGCAAGGAGAGAAAAAGCCAAAACTTTGATTTCAAATACTGACGATCTGCTTTGTGATTTAAATCTGTGATCTATACATGTTCTGTTCTATAAATTACCAACAAAAAATATACACATTTCAACTATTTACCTATGAATATGTATGTTTTAGACGACCCTGCATTTTTTCTATGTAATCTAATGCATCTAATTTTTTTGCAAGAATGCCGCATTAGAAAATATGACAAGATTCATTGTTTTGTTTTGTCACGAGTCTACCAGGTAAAAACTATTAAATTAAGATTCCAAAATGAGACATGTGATGACAAATCATTTACACCCCTCAACAAAATAACGGCTACCCAAATGAGGATAGTCGAGCCTAAATCCTTAGTAACTTACTGAAAATCTGAAACATATTTTGTGGGAAAACTACTTTCTCGTAATAAAAAATGAGAATCAGCTAAACAAATCCTGTCCTGTCTCTTCTAATGTCTTATTTGTCAGTCTCTCAATTTCACAGAGCAACAATTGAGTATCAGCATCCATTTCTGATAATGGAGGGCTGACTTGAATGGAGTTCTGGACATTGTCCCATTCCAAGGAATTTGCTGATGAGATTCTAGACCAATCCGATTCACTGTTTCCTCCACCTGTTGGCATGGGACTGGTATTGCTGGGACAGTGGGAAAAACCATCTTCTGGAATTGCTGTCCTGAAAAAGGAAATAGCCTATGATGATACCAAGCGCGAATCCTGTTTTTTACCGAGTATGTGAGTATATTCGCTGAACGCGCGATGGTAGCGCCAATTAGCGGGTGTCAGATTGAGATATTTGTGCTTGTGGGTATTAGTGACGTAACGAATAAGGGTGTTCGCGAATATTCGAATGATTCTTGATATTCGCACACGGATTCCCGAAATTCTAGCGAATATTTTGCGAATGAAAATATCAGAAAAAGAAAATTCGAAAATAATCTTACGTGCTTGAATAGATAAAAAAATATCAGATCAGTATAATTTTTTTTGCTAGAATAGCAAGCATTGTAATTTATAAACAAAAACTATTTGCTTCCTTTAGAAAATATAAGTTTCATTCGTTTTATTAGTGAAGTAAAATAGTCTAAAGACGATGCTGTCTTTTTGACCTAAGTCTGCACGACCAGAAGACGAGAAAACTGAGTATTTCAGAAGAAAACATTAGTAAAAATGATGTTTTGAGCGTGTCGAAAAAGGATATAATCATTAAACGGAACTTCTCCCCCCACACCCTGAAACCCCAAACCTCCCATTTTTAACATCTCAAAAAGTTTTCCGGAAATGATCAAGAGCCTCTGAAACATCCACAAACGAGAGTTTAAGCGTTTTTTTTTCGTCTTTTGCCTATAGCTCCTCCGCTACTGAACCGATTTTTAAAAACTACAAAGCTCTTTCGCCCTTGGCACAGTAGCAATCTTGTGTAAATAGTTCAACAAAATTCGGGTGGTACTAAGTTATAGATGAGCCACGGATTAGCGAACAGACAGACCCACGAAAATAAGATATCATATAACATACAAAAAAAAACATATTTCATTTTCTCAATTTTTCGGGGTCACGTTTTTGAGCAATTTAAGTTCACTGAAGTAACTAAACAGCTCAGAAATATCAAAAAGGGAGTTTACGGACATCTGAGATAATCTGCGATTTTTCGTTTTTCGCCCACTACTCCGCAGGAAAATGTGCTAGAATGAGAGGCATACGACACTGTGTTTTGCGATTTACATATAATCCAGGTCCGAAAAAACATAGAATGTTTCACGATTACAATAGTTTCTGGCCAACTGAGGAGCAACATTAAGGGCCTTACCGTCAGTCGTTCCTACAATTGTAGGACGCCTTTATGGCCTGCATAGTTTTCCACTCTTCCGTGTCAGCGCTCTATTTTGAGGCTATGTTACAAATATCTATTTGCATCAAATTGTTCATGCTTTTGATTTATATTATATGTTATATAGCCTGAAATGTCTTACAATTCAAGAAGAAAACATAGCTTGACAATAGGAGAGCGCTGACGCTGACACGGAACCGTAGAAATCTAGAAAAAATAACCAAGCCTGTCTCAAGGAGAGGAAAGACTATGAAAATCAAGAAGGTCATAAAGGCGTCCTTCAATTGTATGAACGACTGACGATATGGCACTAAGGGTCTTGTGGCCTTAGCTGCAATTTTCGATTAAGGGACAATTTAATATGTACTTGTGGAAACGTCGCAAAAAATAAGAAAAACGAGTAATTTATGGAACAAATGAACAAAAACGAGTTCCCTAAACAAAACAAATGAGCAAAAATCCGTCCATGGCCACCCTGGTGCACGGTGATCCATTCAGTTCTCATCACTATGCAGTGCGCTCCTGGCAAATATTAATGATGGGAATTCATTCATAGCTTGCAGATTCTTTTGAATGGGACCGCTATTATTGTTGTTTTATATTGATAATCTGTTCGAGATGGAAACTGCCGGAGATTACTTAGTTTAGTAAAAAAAAAGTAGATACACATGCTCATACATCCGGATCCTGAGGAAACGAAGATGGAGAGGGAAAAAACGACACACGAAGTCCACAACAAGAGCCAACCTACACGTTGTAGTATAAAATGGCTAGAAGACCTCGAATTTTCAAGGAGACATCTAACCATAACCACGCGGTCAGTTATAGCGACTTGCTGTGGTACTTCAAGCCCAAAGGATCTACAAAGAGAAAATGATCATGCGGACAAAGGTATATAACAAAAAGTATATATATATATATATATATACAGGGTGTCCGCAAAGTTGGGGTTTTCCTTTACAAGACGTGTAGATCTTGAAAACATAAGCAATTTTTCTTAGTACCATATACACCAATGTCTTAAGGGAACCGAGATAAAGGGCTCTACAACATCAAAAATATCTGAATACCGTCCTGTACCCGCGACATCACCGATTGGTACAAGGTCACTGGCTCAACCCGACGACAGAACTGGATTGGGTTCAGTGTGTCAGGGTTGTATGCAACCTTCAACCGACGGTTACGGTCGCGCATGTAGAGGTAATCGCGTAGACGAGAATCCCTCAACAAGCACTAGAGACGTGGCTAGAGAAGTGCAAGTATCAAAAACTAAAGTGCGGCAAACGCTGCGTGAAGAGGGGCTGTATCCGTTTCACGTCCAACGTGTACAAGCCCTTCAACCTGACGATTTTCCAGCAAGAGTGCGGTTTTGTGAGTGGTTGTTGCATCAACATGACAATAATCCGGACTTTTTAAAGTGCATATTGGTGACAGACGAATCTACGTTCACGCGTAATAGGGTGAATAACTTTCGCAACACTCATGTTTGGTCAGTAGAAAATCCGCATGCTGTCCGTCGGGCACATTTTCAACAAACATTTTCGGTGAATGTTTGGGCTGGCATGGTGAACGGTATGCTCATTGGACCATTTATTCTCCCAAATCGATTGGACGGGATGCAATACCTAGACTTTTTACGCAACATTTTGTCTTCCTTGTTAGATGTGCCATTAAGTGTAAGACAATCAATGTGGTTTCTGCGTCTGCTCGGTAGCGCATCAGCTGATTTCATTTTCTGTTGGAGCGGTATGATTTCGGGCAGAGACGTACTTAGCCCTTCTCGTCAACTGGAGAGTGAGTACTTTTTCCTTTATTTTTTTTACTTGGTCGCCCTCGTTTCACTACACATTACCTTTGTTATTTCAAGGGTAGTTGTTTCTGAAAAGGAAAACCCCAACTTTGCGGACACCCTGAAGATATATATATATATTGTATATACGAGTATATAACGTCTCTAGCAGATTGAACTATTTGTGATTTATACACGCACAAGCTTGCTTCTGTGGGTTTCCCGTTTGTTTACCATTCTGAACCGTCTACATTTTCATATTCATTTTACCATATTATCATTATTTTTGGTAAATAAGCTTTACTTTAGTTTAACACAAGTGATTATTCATTCAATTGTCATGTTGAGCCATATTAACTTCATAGAAACAATTATTCAACAAGCTTCAGTAATTACTTCATTTACTCAGGATGATATTTACCATGAGCTTCCTGAAGGGTCATAAAGGGTTGACACTGGCAGAGTTTCATGTTCCCATTCCAAATCTAGTGAGCTAGCCGGTGTGGATGTGGCAGTCCTTTGTAACAATGCTCTTGCATCTAAACATTGCAGCTGAATGTCTCTGCTTGTACATGATCTGTAATTTGTTGTCAATGAGTGTGATGGTTATAATTTGGAGTAACTAATATAGGCCATATGTCTTGTATTAGTTTGAAGGAGATTACGAGTCGTTTCGGAGAAAGAAATGCAATAGTTACTTTGGTAATAGATAATTTTTTATTCAACATTTTAATGCAAGTGTTGTATGTGTATATTGATGCAAATGTGAATGTCTCTCCAGACGTCATCATGACGTTTGAACCACAATACGATAAGACTTAAAAATTTGTACTCTACCCAAGGAAGGTTATAGTCATGGTTTAATCCGCGAAATCTTGTAGGATGTTCAAAAAGTATGGATAGATGAAAATATCTCAAAAAATACTTTTCCTGTAGAAAAATGTTGTGGAACAAAATTGAAATGTTTGGAAAGGTTTATTCATTGGTGATCTCAAACGTGACCTTGGCTATGACCTTCAAGGTAATTCGAAGGTCAAGACAGTTTTCTTAAATGAACCACCTATTTTTGAGAGCGGACAATAGTATGCCTTAGCTCATGACCTTGACCATGATCATGGGTTCTTGAGGGTGTCCAGAAAGTAGGGAAAGGACAAAATATCTCGAAGGATGCGTTCCATAACGAAAAATGTTGTGTAATAAAGTTGTAAGGTTTGAAAACATTGATCTAATGATGACCTGGACGTGACCCTGACTATGACCTTCAAACTGATTTGAAAATTTTCTTAAATGGAACATCTATTTTTGACACCAGATATGAAACATTGCAGTTAAATGCCTTTGCTTGTACATGAACTGTAATTTGGTGTCAATGAGAGTGATTATAATATGGAGTGGCTAGCCTAAACCCGTAGCTCCGCTGACGTGAAATTAGTGTGCGTGTAAAGTATAGGTTATAGACATTAGTTACTTTGATAAAAGATATTTTTTATTCCACATTTCAATGCAACAATATACAGATGTGAATGTCTCTCCAGAATGTCAGCATGAAGTCTGAACCACAATACGATAAAACGTAAAAATTACTACTTTATACCCAAGGAAGGTTATAGCTATGGGTTTATCTGCGAACTCAACGACGAGAGTTTCTATATATATGGTGTATGTATGCAATACCCAAGCAGCCCAAGAGTCTGGCATTCACGCATCTTTTGAAAAAAAGGTTCTAAGAAAAGTTTTAGGATAAAGTAATTTGTTGATGAGCTCTAAATGATCTCTGAGGATATCGACACACACTATCACCAACTATGGTAAAAGCAAGTTTTCCTATAACTTTCTTTCATATCACTCGCACATTAAATTTTTGTAAAAAAAGGATACCACCCTGAACAGCGGGAGCTATCCTCAATTATTAACAAACATCCAAACTTTCTCATTTATAATAGTATTAGTATATCTAGATTATACTTGAGGCTTCTAGGGTATGCATAGCGTTTACGAGTATCGCACGAATCGCCGAACCACTAGAGATGCGCCTCTTTCTCTTTGGTGAGCGAAATGAGGGGTATTGTGTGTGTGTGTGTTACATCACAGCATGGAGCAAGGTCTAACTTGACTGATATTATTTGTGCATGGGCACGACTGCATGGTCATCCTTATTGTGGTGTCGCGCCGTCATAGAGAGCAGTATATTGTAATACAAACATGGACTTTCAATACGCACAACTATATAATTCAGATAATGACTCGTGTTCCCTTGCAAAACCATCAAAATTATAATTCATAATTCAGGTATCTATACATGGCTTATTGATTACCTGTATTATTAAGGCCACAATATATTTACAAAACACTTAATTTGCTGTCTCGATTGCCTTTTTCAAAGTACCAAATCTGAAAAAAACTGTGCGATTTAGAGTTTGGGTTTCATAATTTTTATTTGAAAAACAAACTGAGACAGTCGAAAAGCCAGCTGGATATTTCATAACTACTGACCAGCGAAATCCCAAGGAGCGTGTGCTGCAAAGTATCTACAGATTATGCCATTCAAGTGAGCTATTATAACATATAATTGTTGAAAGGAAACTTTCACGTTCAATGAGTACCAAGAGGTACTGAACAAGAAACTATTCCACATTTCGACATTTAGCTATATATCAACTTTTTCAATTTTCACATGGATGTATGGGACTGGTATTAGATAGAGCCATTGATTAAGGTTAAAGTTTTAGTTACGTCTACTTATCTCAAAAAATTAAATTTATACTATAACATCAATCTGTAATAATGGAGAACAACACAAAAGCATCGAATCACTTGGGTTCTTGATAAAACCTGATTTTATGTACATATTGCCTATAATACTTTACTTGTTTTTTGTTTCCATGTATGATGTAATGTTTTAATAGATAAATATCCATTTTTTTTTAAACAAATAGCTGTAATGCAGAAACCATTTGAGCAAACTGGTAACAGACTTATTAAAAAAAAAACTCATGGAAATAGTGCAGGAATATACATGGTGATCCATTTAATTTATTTGCGAAAAATTACATTTTGCAATTTTGACCACTCTGTATTAATCATTCAAAAAATTCGTTAAAAACAGATGAATTAGGCTAAAATTAAGTGAAATAAAATAAATAATGACAAATCCACGACTCCATCTGTCAATATAGCACATATGCAGGCTGTCAAACTTTAATGGTTTTCTTTATACATATAAAACACTCATTAATTCAACAACTAATAATACTAAATTATTAATCAATCTGGCAACAATTTGAGCACTCTCCCTAAAATCAGATAAAAATGTTTTTGTCATAGATTATAACATCATCTTCCAAGATATTGCAACAAGATGAAAGGCAGGTTCTAAATAAAGGATTGTTGTCACTTGCAGTTTTTACCTTATTCTGATAATTGACCTGCATATTTTTACACAATCACAGGTTTTTTTTTTAATTAAAAACTGCCCTCACCACCGACCTATTCTCTTTTTCGTTAAGGTTCATAATTGTACCTTAAACAAACAATGCACACATTTGAATGTGCCTCAAGCCTTGACGTGAAGGCGAATCTCAAAAACCCAATGTTCGCTAGATGTGATATAAAAAGAAAAGGGCGTTTCTCGAAGTTGAACAAAATAAATTAGGAAGGCGCTTCTCATGATACGCCTTTAATACAAATCGTTGAAAGGCCGATCTCCGAGATCCGAGTGGACCGATATGTTTGAATTCATGGTAACCAAAAAGAATCCTATCAAACTATTTTTCAAAGTCGATCTTACAGATAAAAATTGTAGGGCAATGTCCTTAAAGCAGCAACCTGTACCTTTCCAAATCACAACTATTAATCGGTTGAATAAGGAACTTTCCCCAATATGTTTAGAAAAAAATTTTTTAGTTCCAATTTTCCACATTTTCAGTTTCGTTTTGATGAGTTATTGTATGTGGTTTAAGCCTTTTTGTGTTATTATCGTACTAGTATAATAGTTCTTGTTTTGTAAAGTCACTTAAGACTGTCTTCAAAGCTCTTAAAAGCTGTTTTGATTACTTTGTTTTGCTTCATGTAAAACATGTAGGATTCTATCACTAACTGCATTTTTTAGAATAAATGAACACTATGTTTTTGACATATGCATTATTTTGTATAAGATCCAAGCTTTTTATCCTGCTTTCTTTACAATCGATACAGGATGTATCTCGTAAGTAGATGCAAGAGTAATTGTTAATCACGGAACATAAAGGAGAGTCTATCCTAACAAATTATTAAAAAATGCCTTTACAGAAATGTATCCAAAATTGGGTCATATGTCTTATTACAAATCTAAGGGTAGTAATTTTTGAATAACGTTTGAAATAGTATAGCAAAATTTCTTTAAAACACTCTCCTGAAAAATCGTTAAAAGCTAGATACATACCTTTACGGGCGATATGGGTACCCTAAAGCCTTAAAGTAAAACAAAACCCCAAACAAATCTAAATCAAAACAATCATGCTAAGAAAATCCATGATGGAATGCAGTAATCGCATGTTGAAAATACGCTATTTAGATACCCTTACTCATTTCAGTTGAACCAATGAGAGTACCTTTACAAGAGGTACCTCATATCAAATTCCATTAAGCCATTCAGGCTGTAACCCATGTCATAGACATTGCATAGTTAATTCCCAGGATACAAGGCTACATGCTATTCCAGATTATAATCTCCAAATTTCATCGAGATCAGTTCAGGTATTTTGGCATGATTAAGTAACAAATATCCACACTTTCTAATTTTTAATATTAGCAAGGATATAGTGATATTAAGAAGCATAGCTCTTATGAGTATTTCTAAAATATTTTGAAGATTAGGTGCCTCAAAACAATCTTAAAGTCTAGATTTGCCATACTATCAGAATCAGAGAAAACTTTACAGCAGCTACTTCTTATAAAAACCCCTTATAAAATTACTAAAATTTTTACAAGTTTCAAGATTTACCAGTGCCACAGCCTCAGGGTATTTTTTTGGGTGTGAAAATTTTCCAATTTAAGAAGCTCTTCTTTTGACAGACAGTCATGTAACCCATTTATAACTCATTCATTCATCAGTTAGATCAACATTTACTTTTAGTATAAAGGTATAGTCTTAATTATAAAAATAACTACATACCCACTTGAAGGTATTCCTTGTGAATCTGATAATCTACTGTATGATGTTAACTGTGGATTCAATATACCATCAACTAACTGCAGAACAGGCTTTTGCTGTAACAAAATATTAACTATACTATTTGTATTACTTATGCTTTTAAACATTTAATTTGTCAAGTAATCTTAGTCAAATTATGTTACCTTATTCCTTCTTTTCCTAAATATTCTTGTAAGGAAATTCCGTCTTCAAGCGGCATGAAACAAGGTTATATAAACTGAGCTTCATAGATTCTTTTTATTTAAGACTTAGCGATAAAAAGTTGAAGCTTAGAAGACAAAAAATAAAATATTTCTATTGGAGATATTTACCTTCCATATTGCTCTTCATTACCATCCTAAAAAAATATCTATTTTTATAGAATGTCCATGATTCAAGTTAAACTAATGGTTGAGACATAGGTTCATTTTAATTCTTACCTCTTGGAGAAGGCTAGTGAAATCCACATTTCTGTGTTGGCTAAGTATGTGCAAATTGCCGAAAGTCTTGATTGTATCCGATTTTGGTATACAAACGGTGAAGCAGTTTCCCATTATAGTGGCAGCCCACAATGGACTGCACCCTTTCAACCCCCATGGGGCTGAAGTGATGGATGGAATGAACCCGTGTTGTGACTAATTATTCACGATGATGAAAAAATCGTTGTTGTGAGCTGGTGTAATTGAATAGCCTTCCTTTATTACCTAAAAAATCAATTACAGTACCTATCGGTCGCTTCCTAAACACCGTTTTATAGAGATTCTGCGGTTGATAAGAGTCATACAGATTTGTACTGGGTACTGTGTACTTAACTGTAAAGCCATTTTATCTATGAAGGAAATTGGTGATATTTAAAACTGGAAAATTGAATGAAAATGCAGACGTGATGGAGACACCCATTAGAAAATAATAATTTTTAACCTTGTTTACATTGACACTGACAACTTTGACATTGACAATACTTTATTGCCCAATGCACTGTAGTCTATCCAGATATGGTGTATTTTTTAATTCACCGGTTGAGCAACCGGTGCCACCGGTGGACCAGACATCTGTCATTTCAATTCAACCGGTTGCTGCCATCACCATACAAAGCTGTCAACAGTGTCAACCATAAGCATCAGTGGTGGAATCAACCGGTGAATTAAAGAATCCACCTATTGTCAATTTTTTCTTGAGGTTTAAACCACTCCCACACGATGTGACGAATACCTTACAACTTTGGACACATGGCCATTCGCCACATCGTGTGGGAGAGCGCTGACGGATTGCATGTGTCCAACGGTCGCCACATGGCACGTTCGGGATCTTGTCGGTAAATTTGACCCGCGTGGTTCGTTACACTCCCACACGAGATGTCATGATGGTTTTAGGTTAGAACGAGTAGCGGCGACAAACATTGTTTATTTGTTTGCATGATTGTGGTGAAGTAGTGGTATGTGAGAAGTATTTTGATTTGAATACCTACCTATTCATAATATTGTATGTTCCGTAACTAACTTTTGAGGAGAATGGATTACATTAGTATACATACAAAGCATAGGCAGCCATGACAACACTGTCTTCATATTGCTAATATTTTGTACGTTTCGCACGTGAGTTATGGCTGGAGTAAGGATATGTATTTTAGTAAATTATAAATTATCAAGTACCTTACAGTTGTTTCATTCTAATGTCATGTTGCAATGCAAGACTAGTTGACAAATATATTGACTTCCATTTCATAACCAACAAAAAATATTAAATAAATGTAAACTCTGAACGTACTATCACGATTTTGGTGAAACTTTGACCCTAGATTACTACGATGAAAATGACACAAAAGCTCTGCAGTTTTTGAAAATCGGTACAGTGGCGGTGGAGCTATCGTTGAAAAACAAACAAAAAACGGTCAAATTTCGTTTTTCGACATTTTTGAGGCTTCTGACAGACAAGTCTTGATCGCTGAGGACAGATCTGAAATTATATTTCGGCGCTTGAAAAAATTGTTTGATCGTTTATTTTGTATAATTTTTCCTTCAGTTGTAAAGGATCAAGCGTGACACTGACACCGATAATAGACGGCACCGCCATGCGTCGAACGTCCGAGACTAAAAAGGTAGGAGACACACTTGCCAATTGCGGGATGTCGAACGTTGTAAACAACGTTATATACAACGTTGTAAACAACGTTGGAAGCATCGTGTGGGACCCGCATTAGGAAAACTAGTCGCTCAGTTTTGACACTAACGTTGCCACATTACAAAATTTTTCGAATATTCTAGAAATAAAACGCCCAGCTGGGCTGCAATGATGCCATATCATATACATTTCTGCTAAATACAGAAAAATGAGTGCCAATATGCCGGCGATGTTGCCACATCACACAATTCTTATTCATTTTGGAAATTACATATGCAAATTTGCTGAATTTCAAAAATAAGGGAGATAAGAAGAGACAATCCCTGGATGAGTAGGAACCAGTGAGAAAATAGGCTGCAGACAGGAATATTTATGAAAGTAAAAAGGTTATTACATTATATTTTGTTCCCAGTCATTTAAATTTTCTAGAAATTTATTTTGCGATGTCAATAGAAAATACAAATCAGAGCCTAGTACAGACGTCAGGCATAGCGAACATGTTTGATGTGTGATGCGTCATTCCTAATTTTACTGTGATGTGACTTAATTGCATTTAACGTGGGCGCGGTGGCGATTTCCTGTAGTGCTCCTCAAAGTGTTTGAAAAGACAAAAAATGGGAAAAATTGTAATTTATAAACATGAACATAACCTATCTTCAGAAACGACATCATATAAATAACCGCTAATAGATATGCTTCATTGGTAGCATATTCAGTAATAATTTTCTCACACAGTAAATTCGCTGATTTTATACTCATGCAGTCCAATACACATAATCTTCCAGATGCGATCTTGCTATTCAACCTTTCCTTTCTTTCACATCTTCTCATGAACACTACAGACTTTCGGCTTCACAAAACATATACTTGATTTCTGCAAGCAACAATGCGTGTAGTTGAGTAATTTCTCCATAGATGGACGCTCACAGTGATCATAGCGAACAAACGTGGAATGAACTATTTTCACCCTAAAAACTACCTAGTGCAAGATGACATTTTATTGTTTTTTTTTGACGTTTTATAGTTTTTTTTACATAATAGCCGTGCAGGAAAAATGCAGAAATAACAGTTGCCTCGTTGTAGGTTTCTTCCAGAAAATACAGATGTTACGCTGATGCCATGTCATAAATCATCTGGCAATTGTGGAAAATTTGTTGGTAGCGTTCACGAAGGAATGTCAATAAAACACCCATTTAAAACAATACGATTTATTTATCACATTAGTGAAAATTACACAACTATGTACATGGGGTAAAATCAAAATGTACAATCTCTTATTTTGGCTTTAAATAACATATTTTTTAGAACATGATCGCTTTTATCGGCTAACTCCCGGTAAAAAATGTGCATTCTTAGAAAATACCCGAAATAATAATACACCAATAATTTTAGACTTCAAAGAATGAATCAGTCGCAGTTAGCTAATTTTTTGTATTAAATACTGCTCTAAATCATTGAATCAGAATTCAGTATTTCAGAAGATCTTCGTGCAGATCTTACAATTAGTCAACCAGCTATCGACGAACTTTTCAACCATTTGATTACTTCCTGCCTAAAATCACTGGGTTATAGATATTAAATTCACCTAAAAACCTACTTTAGAGGGGATTTTATAGTGTCCTTAAAAATACCACTGGTGGTGCATTTTCAACATGCGTTTATTTTTAAGTCTTTTTTTAGGAGGCATTTTGAAAAATCAGAGAGTACTCATCTACGTAAAGACTTACAGCCTAGGCGTATATGATAACGTTCAATTTTACGTATTAATATCACATCATGCGCTTTTAGTTGTTTCTGAATTACAACAACTGGATAAAGGGCAACTGCCTAATCCTAGCTAGATACTCCATTTTCAGTAACAATTATCCATAATTAGAACTTTGGGAGATCCTGAAGACCGGATATATTTTAGACCTATAAAATGTGCTGATGGTATTTACGGTGACTTGTGACACGATAGGTCCAATAAATGACAGTTACGATCGTGTCTAGCAATGGATAATACTGAGAATAAAGTTCAGATAAAAAACAGCAAAGAAAACGGCATTGCCTTGAACTTACGATGTACAAAAACTATAAAGTTGCTGGCTACTATGGGAAGATTACATCATTAGTATAACATCTTGGAAAAATATTGAATGACGTGCAGAAATACGTCACTGACTTTTCAAACATTGCGCGAATTCATTACACTAAAGGGTAGTTAAAAGTTCAGTAAGGCTTTTCAATTGAACATGGTTGTGTCAAGATCTCCGTACACGAAACTCTTACTGATTACACACAGTACACGCACATATCGTGTCTCTACACATTTCAGGGGATTAGACACTTGACAGAAAATAGTGTACAACTAGACAGTGGTTTGTCTCTAAAATGAATAATGGCAACATTTTCTATTCGAGGCTTACAGATAGACAAATGGCAGAATTTGTTGATTGTACTGAGGTAATCATGTAACTCACTTCGTCAAAGAAGCAGTTACGTCGTTTTTACGCATTTCAGTAATGGTGACCTAATTACATAATGGATGAAGCAATTGCAAACTGGATTTCATAATTCGTGAATATATAACGGCACTATTTCTAACTGTATAAGTGATCTATTTAATAATATGTGACAGACAAGTTGATAGGGCACTATAAAATGCAAGCGAACTCGGCAGTTATTTGTATTTGTGCTGAGTTTACCGATAGTTTCATAGTGCCCTAGGGTCAACGTGACGCCATTACCGAAATAGCGTAAGAATGGCAACACTGCTTATCGGAACCGCGCGATCACTCCCGATGACGCTTGCGGGGATTCACCGCGGCCTAGTCGTCTCTAAAGCAGTATTTACAACAGCGTTTGCACGCGCACACGCAACAACAACAGAACAACACCAACAATGACACTGCGGCTGCGCCGACGTACATCCAGTTCACTTCTGGCACCGCTTCTTTCACGCACAACTCGGGGGATTCGTCGCTAAACGCACTACCTGCAACAAAAGGAAACTAATAGTATATTACATATCTCAGTGGAGAAGCGGGCAATCCTGTTTAAAGCCACTGGCAGAATTTATGACGGACGGTAAGTGTTTGGTAGTGCCGAATATAACTTTGTAATATTTTACAAAGTATAGAGAAAAATCAGCCACCTGAATTTAAGTTATGCTGTGCTTATTTTTACAAACGTTACTCAATGCAAGACTTTTTGTTTTCCAGAAAATAAGTACTGTTTGGCAGACCTGAGATCTCGGACTATTAGTAACCAATTTTGAGAAAATAACGATAAGAAAATGAACTAAAAAGGTAAAATGGTTTTGTGTTCTGTACTAATACACAGTTGAAACCTATTTAGAAATACTCGTAATTGATTATAGTTTCAAGATATCTCAAAGTCGTACTCATAATCTGTCATTGCCATTAGTCATATAATTAAGATTACACATATCACTCAAACTACCTCGATAGTGCGACACGTTAGGGCAGTTGACCACCCCGTTGCACACCAGCCTGGCGGGTATGCACAGTCCGCGATCCCCAGGACATGCGAACTCGCATCCGTCTCCTGAGGGCTGGTCTTCTTGGGGCCCGCCCTCCGTGAGGCGTGATGACGTCAGCTGTCCGCTACTAACTCCTCCTCCTCCAGCGTCCACGTTGCGAGGTAAGTGGAACATCTCTGTCCAGGCGATCTTGAAGGCGGCACGCGTTGGAGACGTCCTAAAAAAAGATACAGAGGGTAAAAACAAGAAAAACTTTCCTGGTAATATATACATCAAAGTCTCAAAACTATCAAGATGTTGGTTTTAGGAAATCTGTAATTTCTCCAAGAAAGGTTTAGATGGATAGATACGACGCACACGCACATCAGTGTCTAGCCCGTAGAAATTGTTATCAAAAACGAGTATTTCCTCCCCGGGCTTGAATAACAGCTCTCATCCTCTGTGGCATAGACTCAATTAAGCCAGCTATTGTGTCTTTGGGTATTTGTTCCCACTCGTTCACCAGCGCCTGTTCTAACGCAGCCACAGGTTGAAATTCTCCATAGTTCTGGCTGAGCCTCCTTCCTAATGTATCCCACATGTGCTCAATGGGGTTGAGATCCGGACTCCTTGGCGGCCAGTCTAGTACTTGAATTCCAACATCGTTGGGGTATTGTCTAGTCATTCTGGCTATATGCGGCCGAGCATTATCTTATATTAGGAGAAAATTTTGTCCTATAAAGGGCATAATGAGGAACTACATGTTCTTCCAAACATTCCCTAATGTACCTCGGCAGTAAGGTGCCCTCCTTGTAGTGAAACAAGATCTGTGCGGGATTTCAAAGAAAAACCGCCCCATACCATCACTCCTCCACCATGAAATTGCACTCTAGGAGCGAAACAGCTTTGAGCATAGCGTTCTCCAGGCCTTCTCCACACTCTTTGGCGACCATCAGGTGAATATCTCGTAAAACGAGACTCGTCTGTAAAAATAACGTTTTTCCAGTCGTCCACATCCCAATCTGCATGAGTTCGCGAAAATACCAAGCGCTGAGTTCGATGACCTACATCCAATAGAGGACTTGTAGCAGGTACACAAGATGATAGGTTTCCTTTTTCCAACCTTCGGCGTACGGTATCAGGTGAAACTATGGTACCATGAACATCATCCAATCGTAGCAGGCACCGGAAGTGTCAGAAACCGATCGTCAACTGCGTTTGTGGCTTTCCGTCTTCCCTGCCCAGGTCTTCTTGAGAAAGAACCAGTTTCTCTAAATCTTTGTATCGCATCGAATATCGTACTGCGTGGTACGGCAAGCCTTTTTGCGATATACCGAATAGGACGACCATCATCTTGTAAAGCTACAGCTTGTGCCACTTGTTCCTGTGTCAATTTTGTTGAGTATTGCTTGACAATAATCTTTTGCTAACATACATAGCCTAATTCAAACAATTTCTCACCCGGCAAAGCCTGCTTGAAACAATGTCTTGTTTATTGGTAACAGCATATATACTTCAATAATTGAGATATTGACGCGAATAAAAAAAAGATCTGTTGAAAACAGTTGAGGCTTAAAATTCTCATATGAAGACACATTATTCAGTAATCCAATGTTTCCACAGGGTGTTCAGAAATTTAGGGCAAAATGCATCTTTTAGTTACACCCTGTATAATAACAAACATTTTCAATTTTTTTTGCAAGATCGACAGTCGATCAAATGAAATTACCTACAATTTGACGAAGAAATTAACGAAATTGACGCAAAGGTTGGTTATTTAGAATTCAATTTGAACAAAATTTTGTTTGTCCGGTAAATTTTGCGTGGCAGTGTAGATAATCGCTCATTCCTATAACAATAACAAGTTTGTCTATCGTCATCATATCTACGTAAGTTTGGGTTGCACGTCTCCATGATGCTGCTGGTGTTTCACGAGATTATTCGGATCACTTACTTGGACGTTTCCGATGAGCCGCATGGGTTTGTTTATCTCCTACAAAAAGCTAGAGATACTGGCCGCTTGCAGAAATATCGAGTTGGGCACATTAAAAGACGTAGACAGCCACGAATGTTGCAAATTGAGGACAAAGTCAATAAATTAGCGATTTTGAGTTGAAAAACGACAACTTCATACAGTATTCACAAGCAAGATGTAAAAGGGTGGTACTTGAAATTTCTTGTGAAATGAACGATACTTTGCTTCAATATCTCCTTACTTTTAATCCCTACGCCACTGGGCGAGGAAATATTGTAATCGCGAAAAATGAGATATGTTTTTTGTATGTTGTATGACATGTACATCACAAAGAAACATGTCACTCATTTCCACCAGTCTGTTTGCTTGTCGGTCTGTCCGCTAATCTTATAACCGCCTATAACTTGATAAGTACCGGTCGGATTTCGATGAAATTTCTATATAATAATTTCTATATAATAATATGTTTATGTCAAGGACGCAATGGTTTTTGAAAAACGGCCCAGTGGCGGCGGAGAAAAAGGCCAAAAACAAAAACCGCTCAACCTCTGTATTTCGACGTTTTAGAGGGTCCAGATAATTTTCAGAAAAAAATTGTTGGTGTTGAAATTTGGGGGTTGGGAGTTGTAGAGGGTGGAGGCGGGTATACGAAATTGATATGATCTTCGTTTATTTATACGCTCCCAATCCAGGTAACTCTATGCACCTATTATCCATATTTCACCCATAAGGTATTTACCCGTACATCAAAAACTTAGAATGATAGAGATCGTCCGGCGTATATGTACAAAATGAAAGATAACTCGCGTCAGCGATGCCGCCCAGATGTGGAAAGCGACAACGTTGCAACATGGTCAGTAACTACCACTGGCAGGTCTATGGACTAATTATATGGCTGTGTTTCACTGACTTGATACGTTAAATTTCTTTGTTGTACATGTCTGTGTAACTCATTTTTTTTCTCAGAGGGATTAAATCCTTTATGAACTGATGACGGTGTTGTGTAGGAAGTGCAGAGTCAAGCCAATTGTTTATATCGAAAACAATTACGTTTCTTACCTTCCAATAAATTGTATCGTTATACTAGGATCACTGCTATCTGGACTGAGCTCTGCCGATGAGAGTATAGGTAACTCTTTCGCTAGTGTCACATTTTCTCCACATAGTGATAAGTACGGGTCCGGGCGACCCTTTAGGAAAATGTCTATGACACCATCGTCACAAGATTTAGATGCAAACTTTATTCGATCGAAGTGTAGCCAAAAGTCTCTGTCCCTGTTCACTTTGATTTCCCATATACACCTGTAATTCAACGTAGCATTTTTAGTATAACAATATTAATACAACAGCCATTCGTGCAATAAGAGCGCAAAGTACATTATCGCTCGGAAAAGAAGGCAATATTTCTAGAAAGGCACAGTCCATTCACGATTTTTTACCACCACAGAAACATTATAAATAGCGGTAGCAACAAGATCCGGATAAGTACTGTCTATTTCACTTTCTAATAAAAATAATAAAAATATAAATATAAAAATAAAATAATTTTCTTGCTTATTGAATACAATTTTCCGAAGAAAAACAGACAAACAAAGTCCCTTACACAACTGGCAACGTCGTACTCCGCCTGCATTGCATGTATCATCGCGTGTTGCCCACCACCGACATCGTGTCGGTAGACAAAAAAATAAATACCTACATCGAGAAAAAATTATTTGATAGTTTCCTGCATACGTTAATGCAACTAATCTTCACCCGAATTGAAATCACATTTTATTAATCAGTATGTATTCCTGTATCAGTGCGTGCATTTTGATACGAAAGAGATGTTCTCGGTACGCGAGTATCATGATATGCTTATTATTTACGGAGAGGCTCATTGCAATTCTGGAGAGGCTAGGCGCATTTACGAAGAACGATTTCCTGATCGAAGGTTACCAGCTAGAAGAACAGTTTGGTTTTAGGATACGCAACCAGTATAACGATCTCTACACTGAGAAGAAAAATGCAGAAAATATTACGGGGTGTCCCAAAAAATCGACGGCCAATTCCGGAATCCTGGTGACTTGGGAGCTGTTTCCAATTACTTTACGTTTACGTCTTACACTGGTAGAGTAACGTCAGTACTTCTTCCAACTAACTATCTTAGCTCCTTCTCAGTGGTTTTTGGTTAGATAGTGATACGCTCTAGAGCTGCTCGAGAAACAACGCATGAGAATACAACGTGCAATGAATTAATCCGAGTTACTCAACAACTTAGCTTTTTTGTACTTAGTAAAACATTTCCATAGCCAGCTTAAGAGGTGTTGATTTTAATAAAAAAGACAAAAAAGTGGAAAAACCGCGGCAGGCCCTGGATTTTTTAAATGTCCATCTAGTTTTACCATGTTCCTAAGTAACTTTGACCTGAAAAATTTCAACAAATCCGGTTCAATAGTTCCTGAAATGAGACAGATTTGGCGAGTAAGTAAGAGTAAATAACGAATTTAGACCTTGTGTGTTTTCAGATATGAAAAGTTCTCTGACTATACTACATACCAATTCACTATGACCATTTAAGTGCGGAACACCCCGTATAATTGCATATACGATACTTGGACAAAGCATTAAAACTATCCTCTGGATTGAGTAGAATTAGCAAAGTGTTGTCAGCCTCAGCATGAACATCCTATTAATGAAGCGTTTCCAATGGAAAAATATACTTCAAAAAAATATCTCATGCTGTGGCAGTTTTCGCCAGGTCCTTAAGAAAGCATTGCACCTCATTTTTCACCTATTCGTCAAACCTGAAACGCCCTGACATGTTTTTTCAACATATGGGAATCACACGGTGCCAAGTTCGCACTATACGGCTGGTGTTGTGAAACCTTGGAAGAATTTTTACAACAGTTAAAACTGTAGGGTGGGCATGGCTGCCCCTTGAATGATTAAGCACTGGAAGGGGGAGGGTAGCTAATTTCCAACCAATGACGACGCACCACGAACGATAGCCGTACCGACGCCGTACGCTGCGTACTATCGCGCACTTTAGTTGTCGGTTGGCGTTGCTGGAGGACGGAGCGTCGAGTCCTCCGGTGACGCTCTGCTTCTTTTGTCGTCGTCGTTAATGTGGAGTCCAGAAAAGCGTTTGTCGGTGATTCCCCGCGGTGTCGTCGTGTCGTGATGGTGGTTTGAGTGCTTTTGTGATAAGTGTGTGTGAAAAAGTGTAGTGGTTGTGCACGAAAGGCCAATGGAGTATTTTCACGTTGGATATTCTGAGGAAGCTGAAGGTCTTCATATTAGGCAAACTAGGTAACTATACTCATCTACTTATCTGTTAGTTTTGAGGTCATAATGTCAAAATTGACTTCTTGTGTGGTCAAAAGTAATTAGCAATGTTTCCCTATAGTTACTTTTCATGTTAGATGCGATTAAATTTGTGAGAAACCTTAAGACAATGCGTCCGAGGCGGAAAAAACGATTTTTTGTCGTTTGTAAATGTTTGAACTTTACAAGATACCACCGGGCAACGCAAATCAAGATTTACGTTGTATTTATATCTTATCTCCCGTATAAAAAGTTGTTTACATTTTTTTACTAAGAAGTAAATACTTCCATACAATCGATATTTTCGAGAATGGATTTTGAAGATTTGTCATTAATTGAACTATATTCATGTTGCAACTTGATATGGCTTGCATAAAAGTACGAACTGGAGAAAGGGAGTTGTTTGGCAAAGGCCTGTAGATTGTAAATATATCTTAAAGGGTGATTACTTCTTAAAAAAGTTTCTATAAACATAGGTTCGAGAATGCAGCTTTCAGGGTACAGGGCTACAGGGTGATGAATTTAAAAAAAAATCCCCTTAAATATTATATGAGAGTTGCCTATGGGGAAACGCTTCTGCATAACAGTTACTATAAGCACGTTCATGTATTGCACGCATGTCTGCCATTTCCTCAAAAGTGTAAATCACAAAAACCCGAAAAACTTTTTAGAGAAATTTTACAAAGAATAATTATTTTCTGGAAATGATTTTTTGTTTTCCAAGGCACTTTTGATAGTTTTAGCATACATTAATAGACCAATTTTGTTCAGTGACGTGCAATAAAACAGTTTTTTTTCTCGAAACCGTGAGATACGATAAAAAAATACAAGAGGTAAAGAAGTTGTATTTTTGAATGCTTACTGAAACAACAAATATTAAAGTTACAAAAAGGCAGTGGCGTGCATTTTTTGTCTTTATTTTCAAAAATTCTGTTGTTCTGTTATCCAACACTCTTTAATTCATTGAGTCGAAATGTTTTCTTTTGGCAGTGTGTTCACGAAAACATCAAGGAGTAATATTCTTTAGTTACTTTATACTTTATCGTTTTTAAAAAACGGAGTCGTTTCGTGTGATCATTCATTGTCTTTTCACAACCTTTCGTCATATTTATTTTTTATTTTAAACTCTCGTTAGAATTGAAGGGTGTAGGAAAAAAAAGATGGAAGTCGCAAAAACTAAGTTTTGAGATAAGTGATTTTAAAAGTTTCAAGACTAATAGTTCCGTTGTACAGGGTGGGTAAAAGATCCGACGGAGTACCATGAATTCTTCATCACGAGGAATTGAAAAAGTAGTTAAAGTTAAATTATAATTTTTTCATGTATACAGGGTGGCCCAAAAGTAAAAGCAGACCAAACATTTTTTAATGGAAATTAATATGTATTGTATACTCATGCTTTCTCTACTTGTTCCAGGGACCAGAGCAGTTTGCTGAAATGTAAGTGCATTTAGGGTTTTCTTATTGGTGTAGGGTTCACAGGCGAACATCACCACGTAGCTGCAAGACTGACAAAGCTGCCCCCACCCAGGCAGGGTGCCCCATTTAGATAGTTAGGAATCACTAAGAAAAAAGCGTCGGTATAGTAGAAAGGTTAGTAAACATAACAAAACGGTTGCAAACTTTGAAAACAGAGAGAATCGGAATGGTCATATAAAACACACGCTTCAGGAAAAAAAATTGCGTCAGAGAATTCTAAATAAGTATCTAGGGAAATGTTAGGAAATGGGCACCCTGCGATGTGAGGGCGCATCGAGGGATACATCAGACACCTCTTCATAAGATGCAGGAGCACATCGCGGGATCCAGACGACACGAGTTAATGTGTTTATGAATATATTTGGATAATTTATCAACATACTTTTTTTCCTACATTTCGAATACCTATAGCCAAAAACAAGTTATTAACAGTACCTCATCGTTGGTAACTTAACTACGATCTCTGCGAACTGCGGAGACATACAAGGGGTATTTTTCATGTGCGTGCGAACCACTTTTTATAAAAGGTGTCAATATATTATAGCCACATATTTTATTTATATTCATTTCAGCAGATATTGGAAAAAAGGAGCATAACATAATGGAAACAAACTACGAAATTAGCACCCGAGTAACTTTTTTTAAAAAGAGAAACCTTTTATAGCCATTCGCAAGCGAAAACGCTCGATGGAATTGTCCTATCCGCTTTTCCTGCCCAAAGTGTGAGAACGAGAGTTTTAATAACGAAGTACTGCTGTTTATACTTTTTACAGGGACTATGACAGTTTGCCAGAATGTAAGTGCATTTATGGTTTTCTTCTTAGTGTTCACAGCCATGTTTGACGAATGTATGGGACGACTCTTTATACTACCCTGGACCAGACAGGGTGCCCCATTTAGATAGTTGGGGATCATTATAGGAAACAACGTCGGTTGAGTGGAGAAATACAACTCTCTCCTTGCGTCTAAACATGCGGGGTAACACAGAGGTAAATCTGTTTTTATAATTTATATATGACTTCTATGTAATATGTTTTCTCATACATTTTTCTGAAGAATCATTGAGCCTTCAACAAGCAAAACTGTGTTAAACTTCAGCGATTGCACTGTGCAAAGGTCCGTCAAGAAGGAGGGAATTCCCCTGGGTCCATGGCCGAGCTGTTAATCAGGAATCCATCATTAAAAAAACTGCTAGGTATTAATGTGGTGTTTATGTAAGTACACAAAAGGTATGATACCCAACTGTATTAAAAACGATTATTACTTTTACAAGCAATGTGTGAAGAAATGTTTCGCGAGATATGTGGTTAATAATTTTTTGAGAAATATATATGAAAAGTTCAGGTTTAGATGCTAAGTAACCAGATAAGAAGGTAGTAGTAGCAGTAGTAGTAGTACTGGTAATACTTAGTGATAGTAGGGATAGTAGTAGATCATTACAGGTATAAGGCAAGATAGTTTGTAAAACTTTGGTACTCACTCCAGGGTGTGGCCCCCCGAAACTATATTTATTATTATGTTTTTTTACTTATGTTTGGTATTCACTATTTGTATTTTACTATCGACAGCTGGATATAACACATTTATTTATTGAGAAAAATATATATTTACAAGCAAAATGGATTATAATTCTTATTTTTACGTATTTGTCTATGATTATTTATGCCTTAAAATCATAGCGCAAGTGTTTTTCTTAGTTTGTTTCAGCTTTTAGGTGAGAATGCGAACATTTCTGTATTTCAGGAATGGTGATGAACTATGATAAATATTGATAATAATGGTATATTTATTACAATCTTAATTTTACCTTACATTTGGTATTTACTACTTCTAATAGGTACATATTTTACGAACATATCTACTTTTAGCTAAGATGTGATTGCACATTTCTTGTTTTTACGAATTTTACAGAAAGTTTTAGGTTTTCTTTCAGAATCATAGCCCAAATATTTTTATGAAGCATCGGAGGGGGGACACTCCCAATTTCAGGAATGGCACACGTTATAGACACCCCCGAGCGTGATAAAGTGAGAAAATGAATATTTTGTATAGGCAACTGTACCAAAAAATGTTCTGCCTGGATAGCCGGATAGATGTTTGATTGGGTGAAGATAGAGGTTGAATAGGAACAATAGAAACATGTTATGAATAATTATTCCCGATCTATATTTATGAAAACAGCAATCAGACATCAACATTTTTACAGGGTAAGCATTGGAGAGTATGGCATCAAGAAGGTTGGTTTTAAACTCGGATAGAACTGTTAAGAATGTTGGAAAGGTTCAAAACTAACCCTAAGAAGACCAAATGTTTGCCACTCAAACTATACTTAAATAAATAAATACAGAGTCAACCTACTTGATGTTTCAAAATAAGCAGAGGTGTTAATTAAATTCTTATGTGAACTCTCTTTGCAGATAAATCTGTGGAAAATAGTAGTGTGGTGTACCGTCAATATATTGATGAAGTTTTACGAAATATTTAAAGCCAGGTTCCAAGCAAAAGGATCTGAAAAAACTTTTGAAGCAATTAAGGGACATATTTGGAAAGTAACATGGGACCAAAAGTTATATTTGTTCATGCTCTTGATGATGATTGCAGGCCGGTACATGCAGAATGAAGATCAATTGAATTGATAAGCCGAAATAATGAACAGGTATTTTTTACATAATTTTGAACTTATTTATTCTCGATGTTTCACCTATTGCAAAAAGCAGCGGCGTCATAGAAGAAAGCTTTCGCCAAATTATTAGACAGATATCAGTGAACTACGAGGGGTGTTTTTATAGTAGGAACCAATTGCGACCAATGAATCTCAGACACTCTGGCCAATCTCTCACTATGCCGCTATAAAAAACCCATGATCCCTTAGTTTGTTGGAGAATATCTATAAGATTTTTCCATCCTTTTGTAATAAATTGTCTTTGAGAAGTATTGAGACTTCCTCCCATTTTATACTATGTCCTGTTTCCCATACATATTCGGTTAGATTTTTTCAAAACATTTGGTTTCGATTGGTCAGAGTGTCAGAGATATATGGGGGGATTATCGACATGACGGCATGATAAAGGTTTCAGATGCTACATTAACCAAAAGCTGGTATCACGATATGGCTTATGTTTGAATGTTCATGGTGGCTGTGTTAAAAAATGAAAAAATAAACATTTTGATTTGCGATAAAATTTACTTAAAAAATTGCCCTCGTAGAAACGGTTATTTCAATGCCACTTTTTTTTTCAGGTTAGTAACTGTGGCATGCTGGTGGAGAATAGATGGTACAAATGAACCCAGAATTGCGGAACGACTTGATTTTTCTTCACCTGATACAAATAATCTGAGCAGTGACGGTTGAGGTTTTCTAGGGGTTTCCCTCGCCCGAGTGCGAATGCAGTCACCAAAAAAACATATTCCCCTAATGAATTGTAAAGAAAATGAAAATCATAGTTCTCCTATTAGTGATGATGTAATTTTAGATCACAAATTTATTAAATATATTTATATAGTAAAACTGTGTTTTTTTTGTAAAAGACCGTTTCGGAGCAAAAAAAAATTATTAACTTATTTCTTTTTACTCATGAAATAAATTAATTTTGCACCTTAATAATTTAAATTCATTTGCCTAATAGCGTAAAATGTAACAATACATCTATTTATTAATTAACTATCTCTAACAAAATCATTTTCTTGCTTATTAAATACAATTTTCCGAAGAAAAAACAGACAAACAAAATCCCTCACACAACTGGCAACGTCGATTCTAATAATTCAAGACATATTTTCAACAAAAATATACAAATGTAAACAATTTGATGAATCAGTTGCGGTCGCGTTGCAGCGTTGCCAAATGTTTAAAATTTAATTATTTACGACTCACTTTCCTCGAAAACGATTGATTTTCGGACATAAGTTATAATGGATTTTTTTGTTTAGAATAATGCAAGAAATCACCTCTAAAAATCCATTTTTATTGTTGATGGCTACATTTGAGCGGAACTTTGTACAATAAGGTAATTTGGGGCGCTGAATATGAGCATCATAGAAAAAATTTTGCAAAACTATGCGTTTTGCAACTTTTGGGAGCTAAAAATCCATTTTTCTTATCGATGGATATCGAACATTTGTATAACAAGATAATATGGGGTTTGAGGCGTTGAATACAGGGTGATTCACAAGTCGTGACCAAAAATGAAACATCATACACAGGATCGCATTTTAAGGGGGTCTTCTATGTAATATTTTTTTATCGAGAGCTTCATTAAAAAGATGGAGATGGAGTGGAAACCGAAGAACAAATTTTGAATTTAATTGACGAGGATTCAACACGGAGTACCCATACCATGTCCAAAGGGTTCAAGCTCTTTCGCCTGAAGATTTTCCACGAAGATGAAATTTTTGTAATTGGTTTTTGGGTAAACACCAAAAAAATCACAATTTTGTAGCGAGTGGGTTTGTCAACAGATGAGTCTTGTTTTACAAGATATGGAATTTGGAATTTTCACAATTTTCATAATTGGGCAGACGAAAATCCCCATGCAGTTGCTCAGAAAAATTCTCAGTATCAATTTTCTGTTAATGTGTGGGCTGGAATAATTGGAGACCAACTAATAGGACCCTTTTTTGTTTGCCACGTCGCTTGAACGGTGAGAGCTACTTAGATTTTCTAAGAGACAATTTGCCCGTTTTGTTGGAAGAAGTGCCATTGCAAGCAAGAATGAACATGTGGTACTTGCATGTTGCTGCTCCAGCACACGCTAATCGAGTAGTTGTGGGACATCTCAATAATACCTATCTTTTTTCGTGCATCGTATCATTTGAAATAAGTGACTGATAATCGTGGGAATTGGTGGTGTGTATCGCCACGTACCGGTAAGTTCTGCCATTTTTTGTAAGTAAATGTACTGTACTGAAAGAGTTATTAAATAAAAATATATTAGCGACAAAAAATTGCGTAAAGGTATTCAATAATTCAAGGCATATTTTCAAAAAAAATATAATACAAACGTAAACAATTCGATTCATCAGTTGCGGTCGTCGTGCGCTCGTATCGCGGTTGGGTTGCAGGGTTGCCAAATGCTTGAGAAAATTTAATTGTTTGCGACTCACTTTTCTCGAAAACTATTGACTTTCGGACATAAGTTATAATGAACTTTTTTGCTTACAATAAAGTTACGAATAATATTTCCCTAACGCCCTGTATATTCAAGAAATGTGGCATCAGTTTAATAGCTGAGTGTTCTTACTCTGTCGTATTTTGAGTAACAGTGCCTGCATGGAGATTGGTTCTAAGAAAAAACTTAACATTTTTATATGAAGATTCTAAAATTATAGACTAAAAGTACTAACCTTATAGATTTTGGTGGTTCGACATATCCAATAGCCTCATAATAAGGATAATGTATTTCTCCGTCAGTGATGGGTTGTATGATGGCAGGACCACAGAGTGGGCCATGGACAAACTCGTAAGTCGCTTCAAACAATGGCTGATTGTGCTTGAAGTAACTAACAGCGCTGTGGGCACTGTCTACGATCATTTGAAGGTTCAACTGTTCGCCTCTGGAAACCACCTAGGAGGAAAGTAATATCAAGTGTCAAATCCTGACATAAGGTGCTGATTTAAAAAAAGCAACCTAAAACTCATTATTTCGCATAAATACTGGTATATCCATATCTATAAGTCGTTCTTTCTATCTTAGGGATAATTGAAACATGTAGCAACCACGCATGTTGAGGAAACTTGAAGCACGCTTCTCTAGCCAGACTGCATCTACGAGTTTGCGATACCGCCACTTAACTATCGCATTGAGTGGTTGCCATTTCTTCGAACTTCTTCAACATGGTTGGAACATTAATGGTTATTTTTTCCGATGATGTAGAATAATATCGAGGATTTGTTATCAGCATGTCTGGTTAATCGTTGCTACTCAGTTGAACTTTCAAACCGTCAATTTCTTAAAAGTATGTCTTGACTTTAATGTTCAACAATCAGCATTTACTGTGAACTGCCAGTATTTATTGTATTTATCATGGAATGTGATAATTATTGATCGTGTAGACAGGACGTCAGTAATAAATGTAGAAGTTTACGTTGAAACCCACTGACACTGACGGAATGGTCAGTAAATATCGATGGTACGGGCCACAGTAAATACTGAGCGTGTGACATTCATTCGTCTCGTGTTCCATTGTTGAATAGAGTTATTGCTCAGAAGACTTACCTGTGTAGAGTAAGATTGTCTGTTGCATATACAGGTGACTTCACCAGTTTGAGCAGCTTTGTTGAGCGAAATTGGTGGATGAGATGAGTTGGCACCTGGTGGTAAGGGCTCCCAGATCACTAGCTTGTCCACACGGTCTTCCAGGCAATTGGTACAGGAACCGTGTTGATATGGATGATCCTAAGCATTATTGGCAAAATTAATTTAATGAAAAAATTATGGATGTGGTCTTAGCTGGATGTCGACATTGGGCTCGTTGCATAAAATTCAATCTTACTGTTAGTAGATTATATTCATCTAATAAAGTTCAGCTGCTTTTTCAGTGTCGAAAAACCGAAGTTAGAAAACAGAAACAATCAAGATTTCAAAAAAGGGTTGAGTCACCTCAGACCTCCTAAAATAACCACCAATCGGAGTCTTCGTCGGTGCGTACCAACCTTTGACTAGCGTATTATACCTAAAGATAGTCGTTTAATACAAGCTGGCATCCAAAAAAGGGTTCTGAAGGAAGCTAGCTCTATCTATGAGACAGTAGTAGAACACAAAAATGAATATAGAAAACCACTTAGAAAATCTCGTAGCTGATTGGTTCTGCTACTATCTTATAAATGGCGTTATGGTCTTCAATCTCTTTTTGAAGCCTCTCTAATGCCAGTTTAATTGGGTACATTCAGGATTTGATTAACGCATTCCATCTCAAGATACCCAAATTCATGTTTGAGTTCTGCTAGTGTCTCGTAGATGGCGGTAGTATCCTACAGATCCATTTTTGGACGCCAAAATATAGTATATGGTAGAATATGTTAATCAGTGGTAGAAGGTAGTGTGTGTTGTGGTACAAATATTGAAAAACATACATTTGTATCGTAAACCAAGGACACCGTTCTGAATGAACATCCGCTATGTAATTGAGTATCTTAATGCACATTCGCCTAGTTTATCGATATGTTATCTCGAATTTTTAACAATACCCATTTCGTCCAACAACAGGCAAACAACAGGTATATTCAAGTTAATATTTTCAATATGATTGGCAATACAAACTTATACAGGTGCATTAACAGAAGAAAGTCACTTATTTATGCACCAGTCGTCTGTAATGTTAAAAAAATTCCGCGTCGAAACACGCATTTTATTGAGAATCTATTATTAACAACAACTGCAAAAGTTATTTAGAATAAAGCGATCAGGTACTTTGCTTCTAGAATGAATTTCTGATTTAAGAAAATAGCATGAGGTACGGCAATATTTTGTCCCTCTTTACATTCCTCTTCACCTCCACATCGAATAATAACTGGTCGTCAAAGAAATTTAAACAATATTTGCGTGAAACTGGATCGTATTTAAAGGTTATAACGCTCGAAAATAGATAATCGGAATCGGAAGTACAGAATTATCATAGACGTTATGACACCATTAAAAAATGGTCACCGGTTATTCTTAAATTTGAAATATAAATAGTATTGCTTAAAGCAAACTCTAATGAATGCAGTAGGAAGCATAAAAAGCGAAATACTGCCGCAGGTATAGAAACAAAAATTGTTTATCATGAAAGAAAATAAGGCAATTTGTAATCAATTGCACTACAAAATAAAATAGATAATTCATTAATTTTGCAACAAATACTTTAGACAATTCTTAATCTCAATAGTATTGACGTCTAAATAACACTCCCGAAACGTTGAATCATTGTTCAACACGCGTCCGATTCTCAATCGAAGTTTTTCCACCTTGAAGCACTATTAATTACATGGCCAATACTTGAAAAAACAAAGTATTTTATTCGACATAAGAAAGCTTTAATTTCATTTGCTATTTTAATGGAGTTTAAAGTCATTCATGTGATATTGATGCAGATCGTTTGTTTTCTACCTAGTCAGCTGGCTATACATATTTCGAAAATAAAAAGCAAGTTTAATACCTATCTTCTTGAGTTTTCTGAAAATATTAACGGTTATTGAGCTATTTCAGAAAGTTAATCAAAAACACTTTTTTGCAATTGTAAAAATATATACCGGGGGTTTAAAGTTCGAGCCTCACCAGTGGGATCTCGGAAATGGTAAGAGATACGAAGTCGTTTGAACGGGGGCAATGTTGCGTATTTAGTTAACTAACAAAATGCCACTTGAAAGTACAGAGACAGAAAAAAACTGTGTCCCCCAGCATCAACTTTTTTTTTCTTATAGGCGTCATAATGGATTTTTGTGCAGCTAAATAGAGTTTTTAATTCTGAATTCAAAAATGTATATACAAATATATATCATACATTGACATTTTCAAATCTAAGGTCCATCTCGTCAGTCCTTCCTGCAATTGGCAACGTTGCCCATAACCGGTCAAGTTGTGTTTACGAATCGTTCTGCAAATATTTTCCAAAATTAGTGTTAAATAGTATCATTTAATTACTGTGCTATCGATGAATCCGAGCATTACGATACATAGAACAATAACGCTGCTTTGTAGTGCCTAAGATCTTCTTTTTGCTTCAAATCGCCGAAATTGGACGACATTTATCGCCAACTGTACTTTGACCCGTGCGCTTCTATACATTGACACCAGGCACTGGGAGGCTGGGTATTGCTGTGAACCTCCAGCGGAGTTGCCGTAACTTTCGGATTATCCTATCAGCATTAAAATGCCAAAAACCAAGACTGATAATTGCGACATATGTCTTAAGGAGGTTTTTGATGATTGTCAAGCATTACTATGCGATAAGTGCAACATATGGAAACATAAAGAATGCTTATCAATGTCAAATAAAACATATCTTAAATTAAGTAAATCCAATGATGATTGGATTTGTGGCAAATGTAAGACCAAAGATGGTCCTGGTTTTGTTTCACAGGCGAAGAGGGATTACACTCTGGCCGATGTCATGGCAAAATTAGAGGAGATGGATAATAAATATAAGGCATTATTTACTAAATATAACGAGCAATTAAAAATAAACGAACAATTACAGGAAGAACTCGGCCAAATTAAGCAACAGTTAAACAAAAATGAACAAAAGGAACTTAAAAACAACTTGTTGGTTCAAGGAATTCCATACAAAGAAAACGAGAACTTACCTGACATTATAAATAAAATTGGCAATTACCTTGACGTCCCGAATGGAAACAGGTTTACGACTTTTCGATTGGGCAGGGATAACAATAAAAACAACCCTGTTAAAGTCATCTTTGAAGATGAATCAACCAAAATAAAATTTTTAAAATCAAGAAAGAAGTTTGGCCTTAAAAGTTCGGATTTGGGATATACGACAGATAATAAAATATTTCTCAACCATGAACTCACAAAAGAAAATCTTGATTTATTCATGGCAGCCAAGGCTTTTAAGAAAGACAGAAATTATAAGTTCCTTTGGATTGGAGATGGTAATATCCTCCTAAGGAAGGACGAAAACTCAAAAGTTCTTCGTATTAGTAATAAAAGTCAGTTGGAAAACTAGTAAGGCCTCGTGAACAACTAAAAATTGCTTACATGAACTTGCAAAGTATTAGAAATAAACTGGATCTGGTGCAGTGTTTGGTTGTAAGTGAAGATTGGGATATACTGTTGGCAGCTGAAACATGGTTGGAAGAAAGTGAAACATTCTTGTTTGAGTTGGATGGCTATAATGCTGTTCATTCCTGCAGGGCTGGTAGAGGAGGTGGTGTGTCTATCTATGTGAGGAAATCTATTAAATTTCGTGAAATTGAGAAGTCAAACAGATGTGAGTTAATAAACTGGATATGTATTAGCTTAGGGGAACAAAACTTAAAAATTAGTGTTATTTATAAACCACCATCTGTAAATAGTAAAAATTTTTTTCATTGTTTGGAATCTATTATGCGTACTCATCCTAAAAATCATTTAATTGTTGGGGATATGAATATTAATTTGCTAGAAGTCTCACAAGTAGCCAAGGAGTACAAAGATTTAATAGCATTAAACAGTTTTAAAATTAATAATACGATAAATGAGGAGTGTGCTACTAGAGTTAGCAGTTCGTCAAAATCTGTTATAGACCATGTTCTTAGCGATTATGGTAGTAATGTAAGTTGTAGAGTCAGTGTTAAAGAAAATGCAATTTCGGATCATAAACTTATATTACTTGATATTAAAACATCTGTGCAGTTCCATAAACCAAAAGTTGATTATGAGGTAAAATCTGTAGATTATAAAAAATGTGTAAACTTATTTAGACAAAAAATTTTAAGCAAAAATGTAACAACTTTTCAAGAATTAATTAATTTAATTGAAGACTGCAAAAGTAAATCGGTATATATAAAAAAATTAAGAATACGTACAAATAACACCTGGATAAATAATGAAGTCCTTGAGCTTATCAAAAAAAGAGATAAATTATATAAAAGAAAGATTAACCAACCAGAAGACTTAACTATCATCTCTGAATTTAAAAACATCAAAAATAAAATAAACAATAAAATACGTGCTTTGAAGAACCGTTATTTCCAAACTAAATGGAGTTTAGCTGGAAACAATGTAAAGAAACAATGGGCTTTTATAAACAGCCTAATAAAAAATAAGGAGTATAAAGTAAGAATTGATCAACTAGTAACTGAAAATAACATTATTAACACTCAACTTGATATTGCAAACAATTTAAATAAATACTTTTCTCGGGTCGGTGGATCAATTGTTGAAAATTTGGAAGCAGAGATTCAGCAGTTGAATGAGTTTATTTCTGTTGGTGAGGTTCACAACGAAGATTCTATTTCGATAACATTGACTAATAAAGAAGAGTTGTTGGAAGTTGTGAAAGAACTAAAAGTAAACTCAGCACCTGGATATGACGGTATCACGGTTAAGGATGTAAATAATCTTGGAGAATACTTAATACCTGTTTTAGTACGATTAATCAATGAAACTATACAAAAAGGAATATTTCCATCAGAATTGAAAATAATTAAAATAACCCCACTTTTTAAGTCGGGAGATATTAAATGTATGAACAATTACAGGCCTATTTCAGTGGTGTGTGTATTCTCTAAGATTATAGAAAAATTAATAAAAAAAAGAATGTTATCTTTCATTGTTACTCACAATATATTGATTGATGAATTTCAATATGGCTTTATAACGAACAGTAGCACACTTAGTGCGGTTGTTGATTTTGTGGACTACATTTCAATGGCTCTAGATAAACAACAAATAGTTGTAGCTGTTTTCATTGACCTAAAAAAAGCTTTTGACGTAGTAAGCGTAGACGTTCTTTTAGATAAATTGTTTAAAATGGGATTTAGAGGTGTTTTGTACAGCTTGATTAAGTCTTATTTATATGACAGAAAACAGTACATAAAGCTTGGAGACATTGATAGTGAATGGTTATCTAGCACCTATGGAGTACCACAGGGGTCAGTTCTTGGACCTCTGTTATACAGTCTTTATGTACTGAATCTCAAGTTGGCCAATCTGAGGGGAAGATATTTTACCTTTGCAGATGACACTGTACTGGTATATACTGGAACAGACGAAATTGCTTTAAGGAATCTTATTAATGATGACCTGAATAGTTATCTTAAATGGCTGTTTTCGAATAGATTAAAAATTAACATTGAAAAAACAAAATACATTATATTTAAACAAAAAAATAAGATAGTTAGCAATAATCTAAATATTAACATAAATAATATAGCGCTAGAGAAAGTGTCAAGTATTAAATATTTGGGATTACTGATAGATGAAAGTTTAAATTGGTCACTTCACGTAAATGGAATTTGTGATAAAATAGTTTCAATGCTATCTGCCTTATATAAGAGTCGAGATTATTTGTCCAACAAAAGCAAATTTCAAATTTATAATGCCTTCTTTCTTACACATTTTAGGTACCTCTTGCCAGTATGGGGTATGTGCGGTGAAGTTAATTTTAATAAAGCTCAAGTTTTACAAAATAAAGTTCTGAAAATATTGTTTAATTTTGATTGGCTTACAAGTTCTAATACACTTTATTCAAATTTAAATTTAAACAAATTAAGAGTGTTATTGGAGGTGGAACAATGTAAACTTGTTTATAAAATTATAAATAATCTACTAAAAAGTAACATAAATATTAGGTTCTACCATAACGTGCATGATCACCAAACAAGATCACTAAATAATGTTTATCAAATTTCCACAAGAACTAACATAGGTTTAAAAAATCCGATCACAGACGCAATTAAGAAATTCAATAATTTACCTCATTGTATAAAAGATTCAAATAACTATAGAAGTTTTGTTAGAGAATTGAAAGATTGTAAAAATGTTAATGAATTTATTTGTTGAAATTATGAGCAACATTGCAGTGTACCTGTAGTTCATATATATTAATTATTGTCTTGTTATTCTCGGGGCCAGTGTTTGCAAACACTGATTAGGGAATTATTGTTATAACTGTTATACTTTTGTATTAATGTGTTTAAATAAATTATTTCAAAAAAAAAAAAAAAAATTGTGGACGCCTCTATGGCCTCATTGATTTTTATAGTCTTTTCTCTCCTTCAGAAAGGCTTTGGTATTTCTAGATTTATACTGTTCCATGTTAGTGTCAGCGCTCTCCTATTGTGAGGCTATGTTTTCTTTTTGAATTGTGGGACATTTCAGGCTAATATAACAGATAATATAAATAAAAAGCAATTTGATTCAAATAGTTATTTGTAACATAACCTCAAAATAGAGAGCTGACACGGAACAGTAGAAAATCATGAAAATCAAGGCCATGAAGGCGTCCTACAATTGTAGGAAAGTCTGACGATACGGCCCTTAGTTATTCCAGAAAACCTGAAGTTCCTAGGGAGGCCTTGAAATTATCAGATAGTCATTTGTTTCGTATATCAGACCAGACCTCAAAGTGCACATAGTAACAGAGTTTGGAAGACTGAGAAGAAGGAAGATACAGCAGTGAGCAATGTATACAGAATAGTCAGGCTTTGCCTACAAAATAACGGACACCATTTGCTATAATTTACCTTTGCCTATTTGCGATTAGTATTGTTATTACCATAAATCAAATTTTCATTTTGTGTTCAGGTTTTACCATACATTTTTATTTCCTTATAATTTTCATCCGACAACAAGTTCATGACCAAATGAGGAAATGCATTACTAAATTTAGGACTTAAAAGTCCATTCAAATGTTCAAAATTCCAATATAACGTCCATATGGAAAAACAAAGGTTGGTGATGAAGGTCGAAAGAAGAAACCTCTAATTGAAAATTTGACTACACCATCTTGTAGAGGAGAATAAGTAACAAAGACAACATAACAATTTATTTTGAAATCATATACCAAATTAAGTCAGGAAAATATAAAAACGGGATAAATTGGTATGTCAAACAATTGACTATCTGATAATTTTAAGGCCTACCTAAGAAATAAATGAGGTTTCGCAATATCAATGTATGACGTGTGACCCATTTTCCGCAATAGGAAAATTAAGTTTTTTCCGTCCCTCTCCGGAAGTACTTTGAATTTTTTGAGGGTTGAATTTGAAGCACCCTTTATTTAACTATTTTATCGCAAAGTTGTAAAAGGTTTTGGACCCCTTTTCAACAATCCCCGACTATTGTCTCCTGTCTTTAACTTTTTCGTAGTCAAAAGTTAGATTGCGCAGACTAATAATACAATATATTGCCTTCCTCATTACCTTGAAATATACACCTGTCACAGTCAGAATAACCCTAGCAAACAGTCTTTTATCGGTGACGAATCTGTACAAACAAGTGACATCCTCCCCCGTATGTGTGTGTTTGTAGACAAGGGTGTTCAAGGGGGATCGAACCCAACCCCTCGTTTGCCTCCAGGATGCAAACACTTCGTCACATGGTTTCCCTGGAACCGCTTCGCCAAGTTTCGTGTTATTGAAAAAGTCGTAGTGCGCCCAGTAGTATAGCGATGAACTAGAAGAAGACAAATTTAATGGCATACATATTGTACATGTTCTTAGATTTCGGTTGTAAAAAAGATTACGTTATAATAGCATATACAAAAGAAGGAAGAACTGGATCTCCACTTAAAGCAATATTTTTGGTTATTGGTTACGACAAAATCATGATCTACAATCAGATCTTGAAACTCGTTTGGCTCTATGGTTGTCAAAGCTTTGCTGATATCTGTAGTAATTGACGATTTCTCCTCTTCGTGCCACAATATCAACGCGGGTGTACTCGAGGGATCGGTCTTAACCTCAACATTGTTTCTATTACATCAATCTCATACAGAGGTTTGCCGATAATAGCACTCTACACGCAGGCATTCAGTGTGACAAACCGATCTCTGTCCATGATCTGGAGAGAAGCATACTGGTAGCGAGTTCCTCTCTGACGAGAGATCTGGAAGTTATCACTGCTGGGGGCTTAATGCTTCCAAAACACAGTACTGTAGCTTGACTAACAAGAAGCGCCCCAGCGCTCAGCCGGTTTCAATGGATGGCAGAGCTCTGTCAAAGAGCCTTTCATTTTGACTGGTCCAGATTACCGAGGACTTGATTAGGCACGAGCACATCTGGTCGATTGCAACAGTTGTCGGTAAAAGGCTAGACTATTTGTTTAGGCTTTTCTCAGCACAACCTCATGCATATGTATAAGGCCCAGATAATACTGCTCCTATGTTTGGGGTTCTGTCGCCCCGACTACATTGTCCATTCTCGATGTTATTCAGAGGAGGGCCCTTTCACACCGACTGACGTTCGGCGAATCTTGCTCTTTTCTACGGCTATGTCAACAGCTTTGCTCCTTAGAGCTCTTGTCCATGATTCCGCAGCCTTCCATCTCAACTCTGTCGAACTTGGTACATAGAGAACTCACCGGTGCGACAGAGGTATGTTTTACGCTCCTTCGTTCCTAAAGGTTGCATCAACTGCCCAATGCAGAATCTGTTCTTGTGCCTCAAGCTGAGCATGTGCCCGAGTTCTTAGTGATATTATGGATTACATATTAAATTTATACAGGCTATCGAAAGTAAAAGAAACCAGAGCATACCTTCCCGGGGGTCTTTGATGCTCTGAATTCGAATCTCTCATTTGGCCATGATTTCAGAGATATCCTATCCTAAAAGCACAAAAATACGAGGCGATTTTTGCCTATATTTAAGGTTATGTAACATGAAGAACTATTTAAAAAAAAACTCAGACATCTAGATCGGTTTAGTCTTTATCAGTAATTTTTCATCGCTACTGTTGCATTTTTAAGATAGGATATTTCAAAAACTAGATCCAGTTGGGAGGTTAGATTCAAGGATTCGGATACAGCATATCAAAACCTCTGTATACTCTGGTTTCTGGATAAAATTCTTATCGCCCTGTGTTATCTGAAGGACCTCGATGGATCGCCTCCAGTGCTGCTTTATTTTCTAAAACGACACAGGAACATTAATAGTATCAGACTGATCTGTTTCAATATACGGTCATCAAAGTAACTCTAAAAAAATATACAGGGTGATCATTTGAAACTACCCAGCACGGATTTATCGAAAACCACTGATTAAAAAAACGCCGAGAGACGTTAACATATTTGTCAAGCGGGACAACTTCTTAACCAAAAACTGCTTCACCCCCTTTCACCCTTTGCCCACCAGGATCATCCCGTTAAAATTTTTGAATGACAAGGGCTATCGAGTAATAGCTTGTTTGAAAGGTCTTTCAAAGTCCTTTATTTTCACGCTTCATTTTTTAAAATCGGTCGATTCGTTTTCAAGAATATTAGAAAAATCTTTATTTATCTGAATTTGCTCAGATAGAAAACAAAAAACACGGAAATATGACTTTTTATTTCAATAAAAGTCCGAAATGTTGCCCGTTATTGGCCAAACAATGATATAGGCGATGTTCAAATTCCTGACGGACGCTTTCAAAAACATGTTGGATATCATGGCAGCTTTAGATGATGCGTTGACGAAGTTCATCCAAACTTTGAAGCTGGGGAGTAAGCACAATAGATTTAAAATGGCCCCACATAAAAAAGTCTAATGGCGTTAAATAAGGAGATCTAGCAGACCATTCTATAGGCCCTTTTCGCCCTATCCATTTATCTGGAAACTCGTCATCTAGCCAGTGCCGAACCGGAAGAACATAGTGAGGAGAAGCGCCGTCTTGCCGGAAATATATTTCAGCCTCGTCAAGTACAGGGTTTCCATCCTCTTCGATTTGGGATTCAATGGTTTCAGTGTGTGTACAGAGCCTAATGGAATACCATTCGCAGCAATAAATTTGCGTATTAAGATTTATTCCAAAATGACCCAAAACTTCAACTTGAGTGGTTTGATCCAAAACTCTCCGATGATCACGTTTTTTATTTGCAGATCCAGTTTGAGTAAATTTAGTAACAAGGTCCAAAACATACCTATGCGAAATTATTTTCCTTGGATGTCTGGAGTTAAACGTCCCGGCAGCTTGCCGAGCACATTGGATTTTGGGCAACATAAATTAGAATCAATTACGCTCTTTTGGCTAGTGTGTAAACCATTTTGGAAGTAAAATATGAATCAATAAATTAAATTTTACTATTTCAAGATTGTCACAAAGGAAACTGGCAGCAAATTAAATTCTTTCTTTCCCTTAGCAACAAATAACTAAACAGGTATAACAATAAATACAGTTCGCTCACGATATCAGTGTTGATGAAAAGAATGCGGAAAAAAATTGGGTTGTTATTTGGTTGTTGCCTCGTCTAATCTTCCGAATTGCTGTTTATGTTGGTAGTTTGCGTTTTCAATTATAGACGAATTATAGATTTGGCAAACCCTAACGGGCAACATTTTGAACACTTATTGAAATAAAAAGTGATATTTTCGTGTATTTTTGTTTTCTATCAGAATAAATTAAGTTAAGATTTTTCTAATTTTCTCAAAAACGAATCGTCTGATTTAAAAAAAGGGACGACAAACCGGGAGGTCCGAGGGTGTAAGGGGATGAGGTAGTTTTTGGTTAAAAAGTTGTCCCCCTTGGCAAATCTTTTGACGTGTCTCGGCGTCTTTTCTTTTAATCAGCGGTTTTCGATAAATCCGTGGTGGGAAAATTTCAAATGAACATATAGGATTATATATTATCTGTAAAAATAGAAAGTTTTCCATTTGAGTTGGGATTGAGTCGTTCTTCTTAAGACGTGCTGTATATTTGAACATATTTCGAATACCTCTACGAACAGTTGGACGTTTTGAGAATGACCTACTTACCCACTGTAGCTTCCAGTCTTGCTCTCAAACCTGACAAAAAGAGCGCTTCCAGTTGAAACGAAATCGTGTTTTTCCATCGCCTTGGAAAATGTATCACAGAAGGTTTTGATAATCTTGGAATCGTCTGGCCACGATGCATCGTACAGGGTCAGAGATTCACCACAGTCACCTTCGATAGGCTGAATCGGGGATTCAATTCGGTTTATCCTGAAACTACGAGGAACATATTATTTGAGCATTTCATACAATTAAAATAACATGCTAGAAATACTGTATTAAAATAAATAACGTTTTTTTCAAATCTGTATTACGATATTCATATTCATGACCACCTCATTCCCTCACAGTCCTTTCTAATAGAATACAAGTGTGCAGACTCCAGGTACATGTGAAGCCTGCCGAAGAATGTACAGGGTATAAATTGACCAAAAAGTGCTACTGAATAAAGTTGTTTTTTTAACGGAACGTGTAGGTGCAGACGGTGGCCGCTCTTTTTTTCTTCCAAATATGTGTTTATCATTCTTATTTCAATTGGTTTAGAAAAAATATTGAATTTTGTATCTCAGTGATCTATACGAGTTCAAACCATTTTGCATCCAGCAGCATATGCAATCAGGTATAAGGCATAATACATGATTAAATGACACATGAAGTTGAGTTTACGACAAAGATACTGAAATGAAGTATTTAAAATCATATACATATATTTGGAAGAGCACTGTTCTGACACAATCTGTATACAGAAAATACTTTGCCCGAAAAAATACATATTATTTTATTATTATTACAACTTATGTGTAGTTCTAGTTGCAATTGTTCAGTTTGATGAAGCGTTCAGTCGATAATTTCCTCGGGATCCTAGGCGCAAAATTTTGGTCAGCTGGCACCAAGAACAGTTTTCTGATAGATACCAACCAGTTAATGAAAGGGGCGCCACAAAACCATAATTCAAAAGTATGTCATATAGAGTTCAAGCTCGATCTTAAACAGGCATCATCCGCTGATAGTGATCGGTGTTAGTTATGATTTATTTGGGATTAATAAGTTTAAGAAATACTATCGTAATGAACGTTATGATCGAACGTTTTATTTAGAGGTACCAAAAATGGTGGATGTATCATGTATTATACACGTAGTATGTATTACAGTGAAGGCTGAGCATTCACCATAAATTGGAAAATAGGAAGATCGAATTCTTCCTACTTCTCACGCCACTGCCGATCGTGAAAAAAATAAAATGATGAATGGTTCTTAGATATTGCATGCCATGAAAATTTCACTTAAGCTTACTACTACCACTACTACTACTATAGTTCCAGTAGCGTTGAAGCTACAAGCTAAATACTAACAAATAAAAGGGATGGGTAGTGAAGAGGATATCTCAATTTTTTGCCGTTAGTATACTCATACGTTCCAAACCCCGATCATTCTGCGCGCCTATTAGACATATTTCACACATGATGCACAGAGCCTAATAAAATACCAGTCGCAGCAACAATTTTGCGTGATGCGGTATTAAGATTTATTCCAAAATGACCCAAAACTTGAACTTGAGCGGTTTCATCCAAGACTCTCCGATTATCACGTTTCTTATTAACAAAAGGTCCAGTTTGAGTAAATTTAGTAGCATACGTATGCGAAGTTATCTTCCCCGGATGTCTGGCGTTAAACGTTGTATCAGTTTGCCGAGCACATTGATTTTGGCTAGTGTGTTTTGGAAGTAAAATAATAATAATAATAATAATATTAATAATAATAATAATAATATAATAATAATAATAATAATGTTTATTGTCACAAAATACACGTAAATATCAAATATTGTGCACAATAAACATAAAGCACCCAAAAAAAGTTTGCACTTGTGTTTAGGTTTATTAAAAATAAAAACTAATAGTACAGTCAGTGTATGAAAAAAAAAACCGTTAATACTGTATAATTTGGTGAATTATTATGGTAATGTCAGGAACAATATCCAGACAATTATAACTAAAGTAAAAGTATGGATGTTAGTGAAAGTAAAATATTATTGATTTTGATAATGATTTTTCAGATCTACAATTTGGTGGATTTTAGTACATTGGTTGTTGTAAAATCCATTTTTTTAGTTCTTTTTTAAATTATTTACTTGATTTAATTTCTTTTAATGACTCTGGTATAAAGTTATAGAATTTTGGTCCCAAGAAAAACAGAGATCGTTGTGTAATGGTTTTTGATGTTTGTGGAATACACGTTGAATTTTGATTGAATCTTGTTGGGTAGTTATGAATGGTACGATTCAAGTATTTCGAATATTTGAAATAATGTATTAGACCACAATAAAAATAAATTTGTCTGCAATCTAATAGTTGAGCCTCCACATATAGAAAATCACTTGAATAAGTAATCTCCCTATGGAGAATCAATTTTAGAATTAATTTTTGGATTACATCAACCTTTTTGTAATTATTATTCATAACTCCCCCAAGCCAAAATTCCGTAAAGTAATAGAGGATAAACAAGAGCATAATATAGATTATATAGATATTTCTTATCTAGAATATCTCTGAAGTATCTGAATTTTGGAATAATACATCTCAGTCTCTTCACAAGGTACTCTGTATGAGTATCCAATTTTAAGTGTTTGTCCAAAATCACGCCTTAGTATTTTATTTTATCGGTTGACTGAATCTCTTTGAGACCAGTGCTTGTATGAACTTTAAGTTTTTTAAATTGTGGTGAGAGCCTGTCGTTACAAGAAAATGCTATATAGAGTGTTTTGTTGTAATTGATTATCATAGTTCTTTCCGAAAAGAAATTTATAAATGTTTTGAAATCATGTTCGATTGTGGTTTTTAGTGTATGCCACTGGTTGCTTTCATAGAGAATAGCTGTATCATCCGCAAAACTGATAACTTTACCTGTACTACTTATTTTGAACAAATCGTTGATAAATAGATTAAATAAAATGGGTCCTAATACTTGAGGTACACCGTGTGATATAATATGGGGTTCACTGAATGTGTTATTAATTTTGACGCACTGTGTTCGATTTGACAAATAATCTTCTATAAGTTTGTATGTTATTCCCCGGAAACCTAAGTTTTCTAAAGTTTTCTTCACTTTATTCAAATATTTTAGAAGAATTTGTTAAGATGGAAATTGGTCTATAGTTGACGGGTTTTTCTCTTTCTCCAGATTTAAATAATGGTTTTACCATAGCGTGTTTTAAACATGTAGGGAATACTCCTTTATTCATACAAGAATTTATCAAATATGACAGTATGCCGCAGATACTGGAATTTATTCTCTTGAGAGTACATAATGCTGTTATATTATCTAGGCCTGAAGATTTTCTTAATTTCAATTCATTGAGTATTGTCTTTATTTCATGCGTATCGGTAGGTTTCAGATATAATGAGTTATATAATCTGGTCTTACTATAATTTAATTTCTCCGCGTTTTTTATGTTTTCTGACAACCTTTTTTGAAAAATATTCACATAATTCATTTGCCATATCTACGTCATTACTCACTAGTTCACCATTTTCTTTTTTAATTGTACTAATTTTTGTTGTTTTGTTTTATGCCTTGTATTTTATTGATAAATTGCCACATTTTGGACGAATAATTTTGTAGATTATCAAACTCTTCTTGGAGATATTTAATTTTAGCCTCTTTAATTATTTTTGTCAATAAATTAATTTTCACTATCCCAAGATTGTCACAAAGGTAACTGTCAGCAAATTAAATTCTTTCTTTCCCTTAGCAACAAATAACTAAACAGCTATAACAATAAATAAAGTTCGCCCAGGATATCTGTGTTGATGAAAAGATTGCGGAAAAAATTCGGGTTGTTACTTGGTTGTTGCCACGTCTAATCTTCCGAATTGCTGTTTATGTTGGTAGTTTCCGTTATAAGTTATAAACGAATTATAGATTTGGCAAACCCTAACGGGCAACAGTTTGAACACTTATTGAAATAAAAATTAATATTTTCGTGGCTTCTGTTTTCTATCTGAACAAATTAAAATGAACAAATCAAAACGAATGGACTGATTTTAAGAAATCAAACGTCGAAACCCCTTGTCATTTGAAATTTTTTAGGGAGTAACCCTGGGGGCTGAGGGTCAAAGGGGGTGGAGTAGTCTTTGGTTAAAAAGTTGCCCCCCTTGACAAGTCTTTTGATGACTCTCGACGTTTTTTCTTTTAATCAGTGGTTTTCGATAAATCCGTGGTGGGAAGTTTTCAAATGAATATATATTCAACACAGACCCAATGTAATGAACGTAGCTATACGTAATCGATGGGAGACTGGCGAGTATAGCAGCATTGCCACATGGTAGGTGCTGTCGGTAGGATAACGGAAACATTTCTATATGGTAAGATAGTTAATTGTTTTATTTCTTAATGTTATAAGTATTCGTAGCTAACGGTTTTCTCAGAGAGCTAGCGTATGCCAAAGATAACTCTTGATGAACTGATGACAGCGTTGTTTGGGAAGTGCAGAGTGTAAACCTATTTGGCGCCATTTTTATGTTGAATGATTAAGCCGCATCAACTTACTGAATTCTCAGACGGTGATAACCTCTCGACCTTCCATCAGGGGAGAAGTCATTAAGTGCAAATATGAATCTGGCATTCTGTTAAGGTATTGGTATTCTCAAATTTGCATATCGTGAAATCAATTTACCACACTCGATTTTTTTCACATACCGACAGCAAATATAAATAATCCGTTGAGCGATGAACATTGGATATTGGGTGTCCTCAATAGAACTGCCTTCCCCTATAAAACCGATCATATTTTCCCTGTGTTGTGCGCGAGATCGTATTTTTTAATGAACGTTAATTCTGTTTCGTGCTACTCTGTTTTATATCCGCTTTTATCCGGAGGATTAAATTTCAGACCTTCAATACGGATTCGGCAGTATTTCAGGACTCGTACGGCCACAACGAAAGCTTACAGATCACAAATAGTATTTAACAATTCTCGTCAGAGACTATGTAGAAATGTTTGAAAACTGGTCATTAGAAACTTGAGCATCAATACGTAAGCTCAAAATTTGAGAAAAAGTCTCGACAGCCCTTTTCTTGAATATTTGGCTCAGAACTTGATCTATGCGTGATACCTTTCATATTGATATCTCCCCATATGATTTCATTTCGTAAAGGAAGACAATTAGAGAAGTATTTAAAAACGTTATTGCAGAATTGGAGGGTTTGTTATTTAATTTTATTGTCTTTCCAATCCCCTTGTAGGTTGTAACACAATTTGGTTGGGTATCCTTAAAGGAAGGATCTAACTGACTTGTGGACCATACGTGCTTTACTTCCAGGTTTTTTCTCATGGTTTGTTATTAGATTCAAAATGCACAAAATTTTTTTTCCAAACTGTTGTATTTTATATTACTTCATCACAAAACAAAAAACCAATCACCGAAACGCCAGTAAGAGTAACTCATACATACATACGTTGTTTTATCAGCATGAAAACTACAGCATAAGACAGGATAAGTTCTAGGTGTTATATTGACTGTTCTCTACTAACGCTTCGGCTATCTTGGTTGCTCTTTTCAAAGAACGATTGTAAATTGGTAATCACAAATATAAAATACATTGCCAGTATTAATTTTTGATTTGTACTTTGGAAAAGGCCACCAAGGTGGCCAAATCGTTGGTAGTAGACATGAACATTTTTTTGCGAGTGAGTTTAGTTCTTATAGTCTGTAAACTTCGGCTGCAGCAGAACATGGACACGGCTCGCATACGTTCATCTCTATCCAGTTTATCTTGCTAAATGTTTTATTTATTTATTACAGCTTTTGTGCCTCGGCTTATAAATAGTGCATTTAGAAGTTTCATTTAGTCGGTGCCCTGAATATTTATGAAGGGACTCTAGCACAGTACAATTGGATTTTGCGGAGAGATAAAATCCACCACGAAACTAACAGTTCACGGTTGTGGGCGTAATGAGAAAAGGAAGTATTTGGATGCATTTGGAAATAAGAATTTGTGTACTATATCTGCAATCAGTTGAAAGAGTGTATGTACCATAACATGTAAATTTTCTCTGAAATTCATAGCCTAATCTCACACGGTCAGTATTTACTGATCATTCCGTCAATGTCAGTGTAATTCTACAAAAAATTATACAGCGTGACACAAAAGTCCGGCAACGGCTCTGTATTTTCTCGGGTGAGGCATTTTTGGTACAAGATCAACGTCAGGTCTTTGGTAAATTTTAACAAGGCCACGTCTTTAGTACATTTTCACTAGTAGTAGTCATTTCAAGTCATCTCCGTTTTTCCAAATAGAAACGCCAGAGCCAAACGTGTATTAGAATTCAAGGTCAAGGCGACCACAAGGCTAAATGTGTGCTGCTAGGAACACTTCTAGATGTCTCACACGAATAGTGATGAAAATAACTGGCAAGGTCAAATCTTTGGGAAAGTTCCAACGAGGAACTACGGTGCTTGTTAAAAATAATTTTTAACAGATACTGTTCCTGTGGGTTTCTATTTGAAAAAATGACCTTGAAATGACCTTGAAGGTGAAGTTTAAGGTCAAATTCAAAATAAATTGTCAAAATGTACTGCAGACCTCACCTTGATAGTTATCTTCATCAGTAATCATGTGACTTATAGAGGTGTTCCTAGCAGTACACATTTGATCTTCATTTGATCTTTAGTAGTCACTCTGACTTTAACTGCGTTTGAACGTAAAATTTTCTGTTCTTTCGATTGCCGGTACATATTAAACATAGCAGTTTCTATTTGAAAAAATAATATTGGCCCTAAATCAACCTTAAAGGTGAAGGTTAAGGTCAAATTCAAGGCCTCAGTTGAATTCCTTGTCGAAAGTTACTGAAGACCTGATTTTGATCTTTTCTAAAATTACCTCACTCGAGAAAATTCAGAGCCGTACCGGGGCTTTTGTGTCACGCTGTATGTAAATAATAACTGACGTCATGGATACACGTCAATAAATAACAAATTCCATGATAAATACTGACAGATCACTGTAAATACTCATGGTGTGACATTCACCATAGAGTACAGAAAAATGAATGGATGCCAATGGAAGAGGCAATCTGATGAAAATAATCGTAGACCACTTAACTGAAACTTTTGCGCTCCTATCCAGATTAGTTAGACGGATACTTTTCGCAAAAGATAAGACGAATGTCACACGATCAGCACTTACTGTAATTCGTCAGTATTCATCATGGAATGTGATATTTATTCGCCGTATAGCCAGGAGATCAGTGATTATTTTTTTCTACACCGAAGCAGTCGCACAGGAAGACGTCTAAATGTCAGTGCAGGAAGAAACTTTGTTAATCCGAATTTTGAACTGCCTAAGGTTAGATGAACTGGAAAGAGCCTCCTCTTGTAGACTGTTCCACATCTCGACACTCTAGGGTGTCTGGATGTACGAAATTTAACACGCTTACAATGGGAGGCCCAATTAAGGCGGGTCCGTCTGGCAGGCACATCGCGCGGCAGCATCATGAAGGAGATTTTTGAGGAGCAAAGCTCATTGGTGTAGCGGTAGAAGAGAGCTAGATTGCCAACGGCTGGTGCGTAAGAGTCCTGAGACTGTTTGTTAGAGGAGAGTCATCGATCAGTCGAACAGCCCTTTTCCGAACAGCATCGAGCATGGACAATGTAGTTAGGATGACAGCATTCCTAACATGTAAGCAGTACTTGAGGTTAGGTCTTATCTAGGCCTTCTACAGAGTGAGGTCATGTGGAGAAAAGTGCTTTTTAGCTCTGAACACATAGTGTTTTACTAGCAGCTGCCGCTGCTGACGAGATGTGTTCGTGACAGAAGTCCTCGGCGTTTTGGACTCCGACCAGCCAAAATGAACGGCTCCTTAGCAGAACTCGGCCATTAATCGAACCGGTTGATCCCTATGACGCTTTTTGTTCATCAAGGTACATTACCGTGTTTTGAAACCATTAAACTGTACAAAATTGTTGCGTCCCCAAGCAGTGATAGCCTCCATTTCTCTCGCCAGAGAGGAAGTCACTGCTAGTCTAATTTTTTCCAGTAAGGTGGCAGAGATTGGCTTGCCACTCTGAATTCCTGAATGTAGAATGCTGTCGTCAGCAAAGCTGTGGATTGGATTGATGGCACAGGAAAAGAATTCGTTGATATGTAAGAGGAATAGTGTCAGAGCCAAAACGGATATCTGGGGAACACCCACGTTGAACTTGTGAGATGAAAAACTTCTAGGATGACAGTGACGGAATGATCAGCAAAAATACTGATAGTACAGACTACTGTAAATACCGATCGTGTGACACTTGCCTAAGGGGGTGCGGAGACCTAACCATCATGTTAGCCTTGGATAATTGATAAAGCACGCATGTTTACGCAACGACCATGACATTTTTTCTCCGATAACACCTTTTTTATGTTATACAACATTAGGTGCTTCTCACTCCTCTCTGACTCGCTTATTCGTTGCATTTTTATTTTTGCATGCGGCTATGCGAACTCACCTTGAAATGGACTCGAGAGCAAATTGGAGTTGGTTCTTTGTTCGTTCGGAAGGAAACTTCATTTTTCCGTTGGCCGCTTTATATTTCTCGGAAATTGTTCTATATACACGGTATAACTCCTGGGAAATTTCTGAATTTATACTTGGAGAAGTCGTTGGTCAAGGTAAGTGGGAAATGCTTGACTTGTAAAATACTTCGGACAGATATTTTTATATTTTAGCTGGAAGGATGATCTCTATTTATGTCCGCATACAGTTCTTTATTTTGAAAGGAGATATGTTTATTGTTACTTTTGCAAGAAAAGTTTAAAGTAACAACTCCAAAGCCCTGAGACAACCGAGTTGTTAGGTTCAGAATAAATCTTCACTCAGGCGCTGCATACTGCGAATGTCAACCAAGCTGTTTGTTTATAAATTGGATTTGGAAAAACAAATTTGTTGATTTGCTGTTAGTTACCTTTTTAATTTCCATCAAATTAGTAGTGATTACACTTCCTTATTTTCTCATATTTTCGCTATGGTTCTACTGCGCGTTAGTGAATTTTACATTTGAAAGCTATTACAAGCTGTTGAAAGTCCTCTCACTACACTGAAATATGGTACGAAGTTCCATATTTGAAGGGTCTGTTTTAGAACGATTCAATGATTGTGTCAGTGTCATAGTAGCATAAATTTGTGCAAACTAATGACTTTCTCAAGAAATTTTCGAATTAGACGTCTTCAAAATTTCAAAATTTCTTACCTTGGAAAGTACAGTCTCACAACTTCCCCTTCCTCTGCTTGCATGAGATACGTACAACTGGTATGTGGAGGGTACCAGTGTGCAACAGATAGAAAAATGCCTTCTGAGTCCCCTGATGCCCTCAGACTCTCTGAAGATAATAGCCAATCACATGTACCGTTTCTGCTTCCCGCGGTGTCCACGTGACCCGGCCAGTTGCCTACATTGAAGTGGAAGCCCGTGTTCAATAGCGGTCCTGTGAAAATATATTCTTTAGACGATGAAGCTAGAGAGATGGAGAATTTTTAAGTTGATTTTGAGTGATTATGGGGTCTCTTACATGTTTGCTGTCTAGGAATGACGGAAAGATTATTGTGAACAGAAAAATATTGAACAACAACGCTTAGAGGTGTGTTCCATAGTGGATCTATAAAAATATATTCTTTAGATGATACAGGTATAAAGAGAATTGTTAAGTTCAAATCGACAATGTCCGCATTAGATGGGATTATGAGGACTCCTCGATGCTTGTTGTCTATGAATGGGGAACAGATAATTGCGAACAAACAAATATTGAACAACAACACTTAGAAGTGTATCAGTATACTTTGAGGTTCAGTACTATAAGCTGAACAACTCACTGCGGTAGCACTACAGGCCAAACACTGCTTTATAATGTTTATCTTTTTGAAAAAATTCTTGATTGACAAATTATACTACACTAATGGATGTTTTCACGCAAAAACGTTAACACCAATATAGCTATTATTTCCCATATATTGCGCGTCTGTGTTTGATTACACATTTACAGCACTCATTGGACATATTTATACATCACTAATTATGCGCAGCAATTTGTTCATTCGATATTAAATATTTTTGGCGGATAATTGTTGATTCTGGCATCGTTTATCAACGCGCAACATTTTAGTTTTTGTTAATATATGCTACAAAATGTTTCTATAATAAGTTTTGGTCGGATTTGTTTCCAAAACAATAGGATCAAAATTATATGGAATATTTTGGTAAAGTAGTACATAGATAATTTACACCCAAGTTTCAGGGTATGTACTCGTATATTGAAATATACGAGTATATATATATGGCTACCTTAGTTCTAACAGTGCCTTTATATGTATCACTGTATGTCAATTAATTTTGTTCGTTTAAACCCTCTTCTACTCATACATGTTGACTATTCGTTTATTAACCTCTAAATCATTTTATCAAAAATGAAGATGTCTGCTAATGCGCAGAAGAAGAAAAAGTAGTTAGCAAATTTTCATGGTTGCCAACAGACGCCATCAAAAAAATTCTGACCATCATCCGCATAAAATCGACACATATAAGTTTAGAAGCTTTTACGCGAGTGAACTCGTCAAAGGTGAGTGCTGACTCAAATATATTTTACATATAAAAAGATACAATCCACTTGATCCGCGACAATATATATCAAACAATTGCAACTATATTAGCTGCATTTTGTTTAATAAGTAATTAATTTAAGTAACCGAGCTTGTCAATTCAAGAATTTATCGTACATCCCACAATCTGCTGTCCATGTTTGCCTATCATCCATAATGAATACTCCACAAGGGAATGCGCCGCAACAAACCCTTTATTATCTGGAAGTTAGTTTCTCTCGTCGCCAGCGGGATTGTTCAGAGGAGTTTCGCAGTCTTATTTCCTTCCCCTCGGCTTTTTATTCTCTTTTGTGCCAGATAATCTGGCTGAGCGACGTTACTCCGCGTATACATGACTTAAACGAATATGCTTTTTACTTTAAACCGGGGTAAGCGGGAACTGTGGCACATATTACAACTACACTGTAAGAAAAAATAACAGAACTCTCATTTCTTCATTTTGAATGCAGCATCTATATTTAATCCACGAAGGAATTATATATTTTGATATATTTTTTGCTAAATGTATTCGGTCATATCAGTACAGATTTTTATTTTTGTATAAAAAATGTCTCGACCTTTTAGTAAAACAGTTATTTTATAATGCAAAAGCCACCTCCTCAGACTTCTGTTCCAAGTTCCAGGCCAATCAATACGCCTGCCCGGATATATGTGCCGAAACATGCTACAACTTGTGAGACCTGGAGCGTGTTGCGCAGGCTGTATCATTTGGCACATGTTGCGAAGCAAATTGGTTGTAATGGACATGTACCTTCAAGTCAAACTAAGGTGTTCACATTAAGGCCATTCAAAAGATGCATTTAGTACAGTGGTCGCCAGCCTTTTCAGTGTGTTGAGCTACTTCGATAATTTTGGCATGGACAGTGAGTCGTAAGCAATGTAAGCCAACTTACTTGAAATTATACACAGTTGTATGCGATATACATGTGCTTATTTTACTAATACTAATACATACTAATAAACTTAAATAAACTAATATCTAATACATACTACATAACTACATCCATTCCTATCAATCGTAGGTATTTGAAAACTAAACAAAATTTTTCGTCAGCTACAACGGCATGTCACATACGATTTAATGAAGGTAACTAAAAATAAAAAAAGCAACGCACTATTTTAAACAAAAACATGTCCAGATAAAAAATGCATGTTCAATGAGAAGCCTGACTCACTGACAATTTTTTTAATGTTTGGAGTATAATTTGATACCGCAATTCGAGTACAATTGTCCAAATGTTCATCTGTAAGTCGATTACGGTATTTGTTCTTAAACCTCATATTTAAATAATAAGATTCACACAAATAGGTTGAACTAAATAACGCATTCACTTTCAAGGTAACACGACATAAAACTGAATATTTATCTTTACTTACTGAAGGCCAGATACATGTTGGATTTAAGACTAATGATTTTAAAGCCAAATCATTTTGAAACGTAATCACTTCCATTTCTGTCACTAAAATTCTGCATAACAGATGTTGCAAGCTGTTCGATATCAATTTCCATAAAGAGTGAAACAACAAATTGCGTCACTAAAGCAATTTCGTTGAAATCCTTGAAGTTATCCTTCAAGTTATAGACTATTTCTACATTATATTTATTGTCATATGGTTCTAATGGACTTTGAGATATCTGGTATCGCTATCGATTAAGTTTTGTTCCCGAAACTCAAGCTTTTTGATAAACGCTTTTATATCAGAAATCATTTCTGCTAGTTCTTTGTCTCTCCCCTGAAGCTTCAAATCAAGTTGATTTAATTTTTCTGCAATATCCACAAGAAAACCAAAAATCTCTAGGCCAGATTGAATTTTCCAGTTTCTGTCTAGGTTCATCACGTTGTTTGAAAAATTGAACTAAGGCAGATATGTTATCATTAAATGTTTTAGTACTCATCCCTACTTAACCATCAGACTTCATAGTGAAGAAGTAGTTCCCCGTATTGATAGTCAATTTCATCGACCAAGGTTTTGAATAATCTTCTTTGTAACCCTTGAGCTCTAATCTTGTTCACAATTTTTACTACCAATTTCATAACGCTGTTTAGCTTTAGAAAATGTCTACATAATGCTTGATGATGGATAATGCAGTGGTTACAGAGAAATTGCGGAAAACCTCCATCTTTAAGGCATAATCCCACGACCCTTATCACAACCCACCATAGCTGGAGCGTCATCGGTTGTCAAGCCTGCCTTTCCATTATTGGAATTTTCTCGGAAGAAATAATATTTTTAAAAGAAGAAAACAAGTCAAAATATCTTCTTTAATCATAAAATCACTAAAAACCATATTATTTCTCATTACTTCTACCCGAATCATCACTGTATTAGCAGAAAGTTGCATAGATTTTATAGCAGACACTATCTCGTCTTTATTTCTCAAGTTGGCAAATAATGAATCTGCAGCTTCTATAAACGCCTGTCTGATCATCTCCACGTCTTCATAAGGTTTCTTCTTTTGTGTAATTATCTGGGTCACCCGGTATAATGCTTCAGTTGCAGCCTTACTTTTGTCGATTGTTTTTAAAAACATTGTTTGTTGTCCAATTAAATGATTTTTTAATTGTTTCAGAATGTAATGGGAATGATTTTTCAAAACTTGGATGTACAGTTTTATAGTGCCGGAAACAGATGTATTATTTAACAAACATACATTTTTACAGTTAACTTCTGCAAAGAAATATCGTACTTCCCATTCCGAATGGAAATGATATGTCTTCATCTTCTTATTACAGCTCATAATGTTTTCAATTGGAAGCCAACTTCAACCCATCCGCTGGACTTTGTGCCGTTCAGTTTTAAGCTGAGCGCACTGTCGCCGCGTCTTGCGTATTTATTCCGTTCAAAGTAATCAAGATCGTTCTCGAACAGATCGCTCAGCGCAGTGTTGCCACTTCTTGGGTTTATTATGAGAATTTACAAAATTTACGGAAGCTTCTATGCTTTTCACACCTTTTTAAAATATGTTGTGAGCCTTTGCCTTTGCGAGCTACCGGTAGCTCGCGATCGACTGGTTGGCGACCACTGATTTAGTAGATAAAGTAAAATATTCCATTTATTTTTCAATATTTTTAATCTCGGTTTTCCCCGTGGTTATTGGGAAACATGTAGATATTTGCAATTCAACCAAAAGAATTTAATTTTTATCCCGCCTACCAATAGAACAGGATATTCTGTATATATTGTGGAAGCTAAACCTCCATGTCAGCAACAGGGTCACTTCCCAAAAGCTCATTACCTGATAGCCTCGACACACATGTTTGGGAGGCAAGTTTTGATAATTCTAGATAGAAAAACGTAACAATACTTACAGTATGCCTTTCCGAGGCAGGATACTGATATTACGTTGAAATAAGCATTTTATGAAATTTCCGTTTATTTCTACCTTATTCTGGAATATACTATCAATATATAATTCCAAACTAATAGTGAACGAGAAATACGATAATTCAAACCCAGAAACATTGTATAATATGGGTTGTAATATACTTATGCCTTTGAGTAAACTATCTGTGTCTAAATAGAGTAGAAGATGTTAGTGGTGTAAACTCACCGGCTGGAGACGATACGAACTCAACGAAGAGGTCCTGCGATGTGCCTATAATGGAGTACGGGAACTTCCCCATTCCGCAGAACGTCCCTATTACGGGACTGAACTCGTTCTTGCCGTCGTAGATTTTTATGTAGTCGTACGGACAATTCTCCTGACCTGGAACATGAAAACAGTAATTAGATGGAGAATTATGAGGTGTTTTCGCACTTGGAATTGCCCTGCAATAAAGGGTGGTCAATACTCAATCAAGTGTGGACAATGGACAGCCTCAATAACTTTTTAGGGATCATGAAGCATGACTAAGCACTTAAAAATTGATGTCAGCTATAAGAAAGACATTTGAAGGATCAAAACATTTGCTATTTATATGTCATAGATCAAAATACCAAGTATCTAGATCTCAAAAATGTTATCCTGTATATATAGCACTCTAAAAATATAAAATAAACAACCTTGCGATTGTCAGGTGGCCTGAATGGTGAATTATATGTGGTAGAAATAGCTTTGACCTGTAATGAATTACAGGATTATACCAGGATTCCTTCCCGCAGTAATTCACATAAATTTTAGCCGGTTTGAGGGCAGCACTAGGCTGTTTAATTTTTGTGGCAACATTATGCATACACGTGCGTCGTCTGAACAACTAGTAGAAAAAAGGATTAAGCTAGAGAGTGCCCAAAACAGAACCGCATTTTAAGCGTTGACTTCATAATTAGTTTAAACTTTTATAAAGTCATAATTTAAAAATTAAATTCCAAAAATTTCACATAACCTTGATCTAAAAATCAGTTGCAAAAACTGGACCCCTAGTAAAAATTGCCAATCATTATTTTATTATTAGTTTTTTCCATTAACATTTTTGAGCAGGCATTCTAAGAGAATAGTGGACAGCATATTTATATAATACGGGTTCGTTTGGCGCGACTAAAATCAAAAAATTTTCAATCAAACACCTAATTATATTGTATAAATGTTTATGTGTACAAACATTTAGGAATTATAATGAATGTTGCAGCACTGCGCACAATCTTTTCCAACCAATAAAATTCACACATACATGAGTAACTCATAACTTCAGGTGCGAGTGCGCTCTGCTATGGCGCGGGAAATATCTAAGCTACTACTTGCACTTGGCAATAATGGAGTTCAGAGCATAAATAACCACTAAATACAACTATCTATATAAATCTATTAAAGTTTTCTAGATGCATACAGCTCCACGAAAAACATTTACTACTATCGTATTCATATCACATTTGGAGTCAAATAGCTCCGAAGAAGCAAGCAGGAAAATAGTGACAAGACATCAGACTTTTATTATATTTACAAAAGAAGCCCTTTGGCTGGCTCGGCAACTGGAAGGAAATTTTTATTACAATCTGTATTATACAAGACGGCCTCAGGGAGCAATATCGTAATGCAGAACTGGGTTATATACACGCTCTGGTGACGCTACAGCCAATAAGAAACCGCATAGTCATTTCGCCATTTTTAGGGAGAAAAATTCCGAGTATGTTTTATATTCCATATAAATCGGATTATGCTTATTTTTCGTGAAGATTTTCTTACAGTTGAGCAGACACAAAGGCGAAACCTGAACACCGGATCACCATTATAGTAATGAACATGATGGTGCCCATAGACGTTTGAGTCAATTAGTTCGCGAGGGACGGCTAGCCCTAATACTGATAACATCTCATATCTTCTACTTCTTATCAATCTGGTTGCTGCTGGTAGTGACAATATTGTAAAAGGGCAACTTTTGACGTTTCCAAACCCCCTGAGATTTATTAGACAATACTGAAGGAAAGGGTGCAATATAATTTTATTTAAATAACCTGAAGCTGAAGAAAAACCGATTTTGAAGACGAAGTTTTTGATACCGAGAGAAGCCTCAATAGTGCCATTAATGAACAACGTAATCTTATTGAAAAAGTTAACAAAGAAAATGTGTAATTACTAGTATTAACTCCAACTTGCAGTCAAAATTAACATAGAATGAATGTGACATGGTTGGTCTGAAAAAAAAAACAGCTTGCTAAACATGAATTGATAAGAAAAGAAATACTATTTAGCATTGAATTCCTGAGTAAAGAAAATGACCTACTAAGTATAGATTTTAAAAACTTCAGGAAAGAATTATCGTCTCTAAAAGAAACTGCTCATTCTCTAAAAACTGATAAAGATTCCGATGATGTAAATAGGTATTGTGATACTCTGGGCTATGACTACCTTAATAGTAGCTTATATGTGAAAATAAAGAAAGATATTACTGATCTGTTTTCACAGCTTGGAAGCAAAATGTCAAATTTGAGAACATCTACATTCAACGCAAACTACAGGGCAAGTGTAACATCCAACAAAGCTAAAACTCTCGTCAAAAATACAGACGAATTGGACACCAGTCGTCAATCACCAAAAAAATGGGCACGAAAAACGGGGGATAGTGCAGGAAAAGCGGAAAAGTCAAAAAGGAAAGAATCACAAAAATATTGGTCAGTTAGAATCGAGTGGAAATCTCCATGGTCTTGGACCCAAAAATTACCGCTTACGCCAGCGTTGGATACAAAATAAGCAGATGTGCTCTCTCACATCACTAAGAAGTCAGGGAAAAGAACAAAAATTCACTGAGAAAAAGGTTCTCTCAGATAACAAAAATTGTTCAATAGTTTTTCAGTGGCAGCGGACTTCAAGGATAAGGATCTCTTTTATGACCCATTTCTTTGGCCAGTAGGTGTATGTTATAGGAGATTTGATGTCAAGCTCTACTATGACAGGAATCATGTTCAAGATGTGATATTAACGGAAATAATATATAAATAATAATAATTTTTTTTAAGTATGAATGACTCCTCGTATGCAGGAGATAGCCCTCGAGTGAGGATCTTTCACTAAAATATTCAATGCTCGTCCTACAAATTAGATATTCTAGAAACTGTTTCTCTCGAGCTAAATTTAGATATAATCTGTATTTCTGAATACTGATTTGTAAATTTGGAGCTACCAAATGTAATTCTTCCTATTTACATTTAAATCTCGCATTTCTCTAGGTCGAGTCATATACATGGTAGTGTGTTAATATAAAAATAGTTCTTGCTATAATTTTTGCTTTGAATAAATATAAATATGTAATTCTATCAGCCAACTTTAATATATATGAATCAGCAGGATCGCTTGAGCCTCAAATCTTTAAAGGCATTTTAGATTGTTTCAACATTCAATTAGCAATCAACGAACTAACTCGTATTTTCACAAACATTAATGGCCGAGCTTCTATCTCATCAATAGACTATTCTACGAATATTCCTTCAGATTGCTATCGAGTCTGTATGCTAAATTGTATTCTTGGGGATCATCTAGCGCATCTTTTTACACTAAAAAACCCCTCTGCAGTAAAAAGTAGTCCGAAAATCATTGATAAATTGCAAGAAGAGTTTGCAAAAACCGTTAAATGGTGTTTAGACGTAACATGCCTCCATCAAAATGTCAGTGGTATACAAGTGAGTTAAAACAACTAACTAACTACATTCAAGACTGCTAACCTACGTGATCTGTACAATACAAAAAACAACAATACAAAGCGAAAATCAGAGAGTCAAAACGGAAGACGCTTCTCTCCTAATACAGTCGGCTTCAAATAAAACTAAGAAAACATGGCAACTTATCAATGACCGTTTAGGAAAACTCAACAAAAAACTAAAATTAAACAGATTGTAGTAGATGATAAGATGATAACAAACAAAAGCGAAATGAGTAACACTTTTACAGATTACTTTTCTAATATATTACGGAAAAAGATCTAAGTTACAAATCTTGTTGTGGCATAGACGAAATTCATCCAAAGTTTCTTAAATAAATTGTTCCTTGCATAATGACATCTTTGACTTGCATCCTAACTCTTCCTTGAACAGCGGAGTATTCCCTAATCAATTAAAAACAGCTCTTGTTTTTCCTCTACATAAAAAAGGTGACATGAACAATATTGTTCTCAAAGATTACTGAGCTAACAGAAATTTAACTTGTTCTCTGATGCTCAGCATGGTTTTAAACAAAACAGATCTGTAGAGACAGCAACCTGTGACCTTTTGAATTACGTTTATTCACAATTAGATCAAGGCAATTATGTATGATGTTCGATCTATCTAAGGCATTTGATATGCTGGATAAGAATATCGTTCTAGAAAAATAAAATGTTACTAGATAAATTCCCTGTAAATCAGGCCGTTTCCCAGGGGTCCGTATAAGGTCCTCTAACATTTCTGCATTTTGTAAACAACTTGCCAGATTCCATTTCAAGGTGAAAAGTTACAATGTTTGCTGATGATACCACGAGTACTGGATGTTTTGTGGAAAGGGAAGTTTGGTGCCAGATTAGTTGATTCTAAATAAAAATAAAACTACCGCAATCAACTTTCGTATTAGAAAAGCCATACATCAACTACTAAGACAACAATAAATGTAGAGGTTGATTTATAATAAGTGGATAGCGTGACACTCCTTGGTTGCTGGCTCGACGCAGATCTCTCCTGCAGCACCCAATGAATGAATCGTGAAATTATAGGCATTCCGGCCACCATAAGGAGCCAGTGCATAGGCCGCTTAAACGGGCCCTTATGCACCTCTACATTCCTTAGATCACAAGCCTCACCCTTTTAGCGAAGTTGAGAATCGCCTTGAGTCCAAGCTCCTTTGAGTATAGTCTGCCTATCGTAGCTCACAGCTTCACAGCGACACAAAACGTGCGCCGAGGTCTCTTCCTCTACCCCGCAGCGCTCACACAAGGGATCCTTAACTACCTCCATCACGTGTAGGTGGCGCCTTAACGAAGTATTTTAACATATCCGTGTGTGTATTTTAGTTCGACCAGACAAACAGTATTATTACTTCCAGAAACAGAATGATTCTTTAAATGTTAATCGAGTGAACATAGCTACCAACACCATGGCCACAGTATCAAACTAAGAATATGGGCAAATATAAATACTTGGAATCACAGAGTTGAGCTATGCGACGCGATTTAGCACGACGTTGTTAACGGGTTCAAGAATCATTTTGGAAAGTAGGGTACATGAACTCTGTTATTATTCTTATTCTATGCTGAATCTCTTATCTTTCGTCGTTTATAGATCTGCTCAACTCCTCTATCGTTTATAATA